CCGACCCTATAAATCATATATATTCTTGATCAGCATTAACAGGCGAATCGTTCTAGCCATCTCAGGAAGCAAAAGAACCATTTTAATTTTTTTCAAAAAAATTTAAGGGGTTGCATCGTTAAAATGTGCAAAAATTAAAAAAAATATTTTGATATCTTAAAAAGGAAAATTTGGTATGCAGAACTGTTAAGCGCCAAACAACTAACTCAGAACCGCTTTACGAATTGAAATTTAGGCATTTTTGACAAAGTTATGCGATTTTTAAACTTTGGTTGTTCCAAAAAATATGATATAGAAAAATCCCTTACAAAAAAATTATCATATAAAAATATCAATTTTAGGAATCTTGCTGAGGAAAATATCATTTTTTACAGTGAAGGAGCCATTTCCGACCCTATAAATCATATATATTCTTGATCAGCATTAACAGGCGAATCGTTCTAGCCATCTCAGGAAGCAAAAGAACCATTTTAATTTTTTTCAAAAAAATTTAAGGGGTTGCATCGTTAAAATGTGCAAAAATTAAAAAAAATATTTTAATATCTTAAAAAGGAAAATTTGGTATGCAGAATTGTTAAGCGCCAAACAACTAACTCAGAACCGCTTTACGAATTGAAATTTAGGCATTGTTGACAAAGTTATGCGATTTTTAAACTTTGGTTGTTCCAAAAAATATGACATAGAAAAATCCCTTACAAAAAAATTATCATATAAAAATATCAATTTTAGGAATCTTGCTGAGGAAAATATCATTTTTTACAGTGAAGGAGCCATTTCCGACCCTATAAATCATATATATTCTTGATCAGCATTAACAGGCGAATCGTTCTAGCCATCTCAGGAAGCAAAAGAACCATTTTAATTTTTTTCAAAAAAATTTAAGGGGTTGCATCGTTAAAATGTGCAAAAATTAAAAAAAATATTTTGATATCTTAAAAAGGAAAATTTGGTATGCAGAACTGTTAAGCGCCAAACAACTAACTCAGAACCGCTTTACGAATTGAAATTTAGGCATTTTTGACAAAGTTATGCGATTTTTAAACTTTGGTTGTTCCAAAAAATATGATATAGAAAAATCCCTTACAAAAAAATTATCATATAAAAATATCAATTTTAGGAATCTTGCTGAGGAAAATATCATTTTTTACAGTGAAGGAGCCATTTCCGACCCTATAAATCATATATATTCTTGATCAGCATTAACAGGCGAATCGTTCTAGCCATCTCAGGAAGCAAAAGAACCATTTTAATTTTTTTCAAAAAAATTTAAGGGGTTGCATCGTTAAAATGTGCAAAAATTAAAAAAAATATTTTGATATCTTAAAAAGGAAAATTTGGTATGCAGAACTGTTAAGCGCCAAACAACTAACTCAGAACCGCTTTACGAATTGAAATTTAGGCATTTTTGACAAAGTTATGCGATTTTTAAACTTTGGTTGTCCCAAAAAAATAATACAAAATTATTAAGTAAAAATTTCGATTTCAAGAATCTTGCAGAGGAAAATATAATTTTTATATCTATAAACCATATATATTCTTGAGCAGCATTAAGTTATGGGGTCCATGGCAATAAGAATATGAATGTGAAAATAAGTTCATAGCTATTAGCTAACTCATCTTATTCTAGACCTAGGCCTGATCAGTCTTATAGCATATCTTAATGTATATAATATAATAATGATATAATTGTCATAGTAAAGACTTACCCCAGTAGAGGACACGTCATCTTTCGTCATTGCTTAATTCCTTCCGATGTAGACTTATATTCCTGGTGAGTTAATTAAGGATCGTTTCATCAAAGTGTGCTTCTTCTTGGCGATCCGGAAGTATTCCCATGGCCACGTCATGCTTTTAAGTAGAAGGGTAATCACTATCACTATCACTGATGATGTTAGCACTAGGTACCCCTAGGACAGACTGAGGTCGCGGCGGTCGAAGCACCTGTATTTATACTTCCCGATCAAAGAGAACAGAGAAAGAGAGCGAGAGGGAAAGAGCTAACTCTAGAGCTGCAGCAGAGTAAGATAGAGCGTAAGCGCCTTCTCTGGAGCTGCAACAGAGGGAGGCAGACATACCAAATGTTATTGTGAGTAAGAAAGAGAGCGAGAGGCATCAGCATTAACAGGCGAATCGTTCTAGCCATCTCAGGAAGCAAAAGAACCATTTTAATTTTTTTCAAAAAAATTTAAGGGGTTGCATCGTTAAAATGTGCAAAAATTAAAAAAAATATTTTAATATCTTAAAAAGGAAAATGTTGTATGCAGAATTGTTAAGCACCAAACAACTAACTCAGAACCGCTTTCCGATTTTTAAACTTTGGTTGTTCCAAAAAATATGATATAGAAAAATCCCTTACAAAAAAATTATCATATAAATATATCAATTTTAGGAATCTTGCTGAGGAAAATATAATTTTTTACAGTGAAGGAGCCATTTCCGACCCTATAAATCATATATATTCTTGATCAGCATTAACAGGCGAATCGTTCTAGCCATCTCAGGAAGCAAAAGAACCATTTTAATTTTTTTCAAAAAAATTTAAGGGGTTGCATCGTTAAAATGCAAAAATTAAAAAAAATATTTTAATATCTTAAAAAGGAAAATTTGGTATGCAGAACTGTTAAGCGCCAAACAACTAACTCAGAACCGCTTTCCGAATTGAAATTTAGGCATTTTTGACAAAGTTATGCGATTTTTAAACTTTGGTTGTTCCAAAAAATATGACATAGAAAAATCCCTTACAAAAAAATTATCATATAAAAATATCAATTTTAGGAATCTTGCTGAGGAAAATATCATTTTTTACAGTGAAGGAGCCATTTCCGACCCTATAAATCATATATATTCTTGATCAGCATTAACAGGCGAATCGTTCTAGCCATCTCAGGAAGCAAAAGAACCATTTTAATTTTTTTCAAAAAAATTTAAGGGGTTGCATCGTTAAAATGTGCAAAAATTAAAAAAAATATTTTGATATCTTAAAAAGGAAAATTTGGTATGCAGAACTGTTAAGCGCCAAACAACTAACTCAGAACCGCTTTACGAATTGAAATTTAGGCATTTTTGACAAAGTTATGCGATTTTTAAACTTTGGTTGTTCCAAAAAATATGATATAGAAAAATCCCTTACAAAAAAATTATCATATAAAAATATCAATTTTAGGAATCTTGCTGAGGAAAATATCATTTTTTACAGTGAAGGAGCCATTTCCGACCCTATAAATCATATATATTCTTGATCAGCATTAACAGGCGAATCGTTCTAGCCATCTCAGGAAGCAAAAGAACCATTTTAATTTTTTTCAAAAAAATTTAAGGGGTTGCATCGTTAAAATGTGCAAAAATTAAAAAAAATATTTTAATATCTTAAAAAGGAAAATGTTGTATGCAGAATTGTTAAGCACCAAACAACTAACTCAGAACCGCTTTCCGATTTTTAAACTTTGGTTGTTCCAAAAAATATGATATAGAAAAATCCCTTACAAAAAAATTATCATATAAAAATATCAATTTTAGGAATCTTGCTGAGGAAAATATCATTTTTTACAGTGAAGGAGCCATTTCCGACCCTATAAATCATATATATTCTTGATCAGCATTAACAGGCGAATCGTTCTAGCCATCTCAGGAAGCAAAAGAACCATTTTAATTTTTTTCAAAAAAATTTAAGGGGTTGCATCGTTAAAATGTGCAAAAATTAAAAAAAATATTTTAATATCTAAATTAAGGATCGTTTCATCAAAGTGTGCTTCTTCTTGGCGATCCGGAAGTATTCCCATGGCCACGTCATGCTTTTAAGTAGAAGGGTAATCACTATCACTATCACTGATGATGTTAGCACTAGGTACCCCTAGGACAGACTGAGGTCGCGGCGGTCGAAGCACCTGTATTTATACTTCCCGATCAAAGAGAACAGAGAAAGAGAGCGAGAGGGAAAGAGCTAACTCTAGAGCTGCAGCAGAGTAAGATAGAGCGTAAGCGCCTTCTCTGGAGCTGCAACAGAGGGAGGCAGACATACCAAATGTTATTGTGAGTAAGAAAGAGAGCGAGAGGCAAAGGCTTACAGAGGCATAATTAATTTGATAATTTTGGTTTAAAAAGATTATTTTATATTATATTTTTTGGGACAATCAAAGTTTAAAGATCGCAGAACTTTGTCAAAAATGCATTCATTTCAATTTAGAAACCGCTCCTATGTTTGTTGTTTGGCGCTTAAAAAATCTGCATAGTAAATTTAACTTTTAAGAAATCCAATTTCTTTTTCGAATTTTCACAATTTTAATGAATTTTTTTTAATTGGGAAAGTCTGTTTTGCAACCTGAAATGGCCAGAAAGATTCGCCTGTTAATGCTGATCAAGAATATCGGAATGGCTCCTTCACTGATAAAAATTATATTTTCCTCTGCAAGATTCTTAAAATTGAAATTTTTACTTTTTTTTAATATTTTTTAAAATGATTTTAATGATGTTTAAAAATCGCGTCACTTTGTCAAAAATGCATTACCTTCAATTCGGAAACCGCTCATGCGTTAGTTCTTTGGCGCTTAAAAAATCTGCATTCTACGTTCGATTTGTTCCTTTGTTAGTTTTTTTAAGGTTAATAATTTTTATTTGATAATTTTGTTTTTTTTTTAGTTTTTACATCATATTTTTTTGGGGCAGTATTCGACTTTCAGGCGAGGCAATAATACTTCTGATATTATAATCAATTATCTTTAATCTATTCGGAATTCCTGTATTTCTTTGTCAAATGCTATTGTATTTTTCACGACTTTTCAGTCGAATTTATGTTATCTAATTATATTTTATCCTTTTAAATAAAATAAAATTTTTTCATAATTAAATGCTTAAATCTTACGGTTTAATTAAACCTAAACTTCTTTTTAATAAGCATCTGCATAGGTTGTTTCCCAGAATCAGCCTGATGAAACACATACGAACGAGTTCCAATTTTTTCTAAATGTTTATTTAAGGAGGAGAGGGGTTAATAAAATAAAATAAATACGTGGACATTTTGTACAATTAGTTTTTAGTTTTCTTTCGATTTTATTACAGGCTAGCTTTAAGTAGGTTAACATTTTAAAAGGACTAGCACAAGGAGTAATCCTCTCGGCTCAGCGTATGTATGTATATAAATATTGCGTATTTGTAGTTGTACATATATATGTATATATATATGCATTTTATATATATATATATATAAGGTATAGGGTTTTCTCGTAAAGAGTGGGGCGAATACTTGGCGTTGTTGGAGTTGTTAGCTAATTATTTAGGGGTCGGGGAGCAAGTGAGCTAATAAAAAATTATAATAATTATACAAAACAATTAAATACATTTTATAAAAGTACAAACATTTTCTTGTCGCGATCTAGATGGGCGTTATTTTGATTTTATGTTATATGTTTCTGTTCATTGTTTCCTGGTTTTTGTTCATGTCATGTGTATAAGGCAACTGCTCTGTCACGGCAGCTGCCTTAAACCAAGCTATCCCCATCCCATAAACCACAATCGGGATGCGCTCTTTAATTGTTTAAAATTAAACGGGCACCTTGCAGGTGGTCTTTAAGCTTGTTTAAAATTAAATGTACACTTCTCTTTAAATTACAAACAACAAAAAAGATGAAATTTGCAACTTAATGGCGCGCTGTCTTAAATTTTCAAAATTCGGCGTAACTCAAAAGATTTAAAATAATTAGGTGCACAAAAAGAGCAGCGAGACGCACCTTTTCATTTAAGAGAGTCCTTTAAAGGCAGCACTTTCAAACTTTAAAAACTACCTTGAGGTGTGGATTCTTGTTGAAAATTTTGAGTAAGGAGCGCTCCTTCAATTTCTTAAAATTATAAATACACCTTGAAGGCGCTCCAGCCATGGAAGCACTTGGTGAATCGGCGCGACTCTTTGTTCTTCATCGTGAGGAATAGCTTTCTTGGCCTCTCCGGCTGCTTTATCCGCATATGCTGGATGTACACTTGGGCGGACTTGTAGGCCAGCTTCACCTCCACCTCGCTGCAGCGCGGCCCCATCCACAGGAAGACGTGCTCGCCATTATCCAGAATCATGATGTCATCGTCGGCCAGATCGTCCTGACAAAAGTCAGCGCACTTCTCCGCCACCGTATAGTAGCCCCGTTCATTGGAGCATCGGAAGAGACGCGTATAGTCCATATATGTGGCGTCCGTATCATATGGCTTACGGCCGCCCAGCGCCACCCAGAAGAAATTCTCTGGCTCGTCGCCTTCGTTGAGTATCTGCCAAGGATGAATAAAATTCGCCTTAAGACATTTTTAAAGAGCATTTAAACCATAGGCACTTACCTGCAGGCTAACCCAGGGCGAGTTGAACATTTGCTCAGCGATATCCTGGATGAGTTTCGCCTCCTCATTGCAGGATTTGCTGCCAATCCACACGTAAACAATCCCTGACTGCGAGTCGTCCTCCGTTTCAAATGGCACATGGAGTATATAGCTAAGATTGAAAACAAATTAATTACATTTGTTGATGAATTATACAATTATTAATAAAAATATATAAATATAAATAGGAAAATGTATTAAATAGTGGCGCATTTTCAATTGCGATGTATTTAACTATATTTTTAGCCATTATAATATTGTTATCTTTCAGAAATAATGACCTATATCAAATATTTATGGGATTTTCAATCCAAAGAAACGATAAGACAAGAACATGAGTCATTACGCAAGTCAAAGAATATAAAAATATAAGGCAAAACTATTAGAACGAGAGACAGATAAACACTCACCAGAAGGCCGAATTGAGATGCACTGCATCTGGATTAATTTGGATGAGCCGCGTGGTCAGCGCACCGCCGTTGGAACGCAGATGGAAGAACTCAACGGGCGCCTTGCCGTCGGCGGTGAGAGCTTTGTCCTTCCGCTTTCCCGTCAGGATAATGAATTTCCGCTTAAAGTGCGACATAAACTTGAGGTTCTCCTGCTGCTGAAAAATCCGCACCACCTCCAGCTCCTCGCCAAACATCGCCTTGAACTTCTTTTGCAACGTAAAGGTAAAGGTGAGCCATCCCATGTTGCCAGCATTGCGACCCTGCCAGAAGTAGACAACACATTGGATCTCATCCTCCGGCTGGTTGCTATTGTTGGCTTTACTGTCGTCCTGAGGATTCGTACCATCCTCCTGGCCGGGTTCGGGCTCCTCGACGGGTATACAGTAGCGGCAGAGGAAGACGTAACATTCGCCGGTATAAAAATGGCCCAATTCCTCTTCGGGCAGACGGACAAACTTCTTGTTCTCCAGCACAAAGGCCTCCATCATCTCCAGGTCGTAGTTCCACTCCTCCTCCAGCTGCTCCGCTTCGGCCAGTGGCATGGCCGATTGCCTGGGCATAAACAGAGCTGCCAAATCGGTTCGCGTCTCCTGCTGTCTTGCCCATTGTGTGAGATTGGCTCCAGTTTTTGCCACCGACTTGGCTGTCCTCGTGAAATCCACCGCCATGACCTCATCCCAGCCGGCGAACTTGGTGCGGAAGATCTGCATCTCATTGCCCTCGGGCACACGCATCACCAAGGCACACTCCGGCCGATCCATCATGTTGAAGAGCTCCCGGCTCAGCTTGACTGCGGCTGCGCGCACCAATCTCGTCGATTTCTTGCCAAACCACACAAACAGATCCGTGTAGCAGTCGAGGATGTACACATGCTTGCTGTTGAGCAGGGTATGGCAAAGCTTCTGCTCGGGCAGCTCCACTTGTGGCAGTTCCAGATAGCCCATGCCCAGCTGCACCTGATAGAGGCGCGGCTGCACTGGCTGGTAGTCCTCGGGAACATGCTCCTTCAGCGGCTCTGCGGCAGCGACATCTTCCGGCGTCATATCCAATCCCTGCCAGAATTCGGCACTCTCTTCGCCTTGCCGCTCAACCATTATCTCGCACTTATTCTTCCGTTCCGTCTTGCTAATCTTCTCTGCCATCAAGCGGGCCTTTGAGTTGAGGGTATTCTTCGATCGCTCGCCCAGCCAGATGTAGATGTGTGCACCCAGGTCCAGGACGAAGGCGTGCCGGGGATCCAGGGAACTGTAGACGGGAGCCACCGGCTCCAAGTGAACTGTGGCGCCGTAGGCGTGCACCAAATACAATCTGGTGATATGGATCATTTCCTCAATGGTATAGAAACCAGTGGCAGTGCGACCGCCCTCGATGTAGATCACCTCGGTGTCGAATAGAGCCAGGAACTCCTCGGACTCATCTCCCTGCTCCTCGCGTATTGTGCGACACCGCGCGCCCAGATAGTTCCGCAGATTTACCGCATGAATGGCCGCACAGGCTCGCTTGTCCAGGGTGGCCTCGTTGCCGATCCAAAAGTAAATCTCCCAGGTAAGCAGACCGAGGTCATCATACTTGGTTTTCAGGACAATGTAGCAGTCGCCTTCGTAGAACTTTCCGTGGACCACTTCCTCGATTTTGTTGGGCAGGAAATTCTCGATTTCCCAGATGGTCAGACCGGGCTGCTGGCCGTCTTCCTTCTCAAAGAATTTCGAGTAGTCCAGCTGTGGTTTTTCCAGGGACTCATCCCATCGCTTGGGCTTCAGCGACTCCGGCTTTCCCACCTCTTCCGGCAGGCAACCGGCCTCGTTATCCTTTGCCACATCCTTCATGCCCTTGAGTACCTTAGCAGCATCCTGATCCCCCTCAGAGCGGGGACCACCTCGTCGTAATCGAATCTTCCGGGCGGTTGAATCCTTGGGCGTGGCCGCCGCAGGAATGGATGGCGGCACAGCGGCTCCAGCTAACCGCAATTGCGTCTGCAGACTGAAATCTATGTTGTAGAACTCAAGACTGGTGGCTTTGCTCGCCTCGCTGGGCTTGGGGGGCATCACTAGCTCCGGATTATTGCGCAGATCCAGTTGGTCCAGTCCCTCCAGCAGGTGAATGGCATCGGGCAGTGTGATCAGACGATTGCAGCTTAAATTTAACTGCTTTAGAGCACCGCATCGGCACAGACCCTCGGGCACCATCTCCAGCAAATTATTGGCCGCCGCAAAGACCTCCAAAGCACCCAGCTTTCCAATGCCCGACGGTATGCCCTCGAAATTCAGCTTGTTGTCGTTCACATAGAGTCGTCGCAGCTTGGGCAGCTTGCAGAGGGCCGCCGGCAGGGCCACCAGTTGATTCCGTGACACATTTAGCGATTCCAGACGCTGCCACAGCTCTACGCCTGCACTCAGTTCGTTGATCTCGTTGTCACTCAGGTTAAGCCGGACCAAGGTGGCCACATTGTACACACAATCGGGCAGCTTCGGCAGCGAATTGTGGGACAGATCCAATTCACTTAAATTCGCTAGACTGTCCAGGCCGGTGGGGAAGTTGAGGAGTGTCCGCTGAGTGCCGCTCATATTGAGCACCTCCAGACTCTGCAGCGATGGCAGCTGGCGCAATTGGAACAGTTCCAGCGGATTGTGCGACAGGTCCAGAGACTTGAGGTTGATCAGCCGGCGCATTTGCGGTGGCAAGGTCTCCAGTCGATTGTGCGACAGATCCAGAAATATCAGATCCGTGAGGTGTATAAACAGGGGCGTCGGTATAATCTCGATGTTATTGTGGCTGAGATTAAGGACGATCAGGTTCTTGGCCCGCTCCAAGCCCTCGGGCACCTCCTTCAGCTTGTTGTGCGAGAGATCCAGCGTGGTCAGCTCCTCCAGGTGGAAGAGCTCCGGCGGTATGCCGCTGTTCTTCAGCTGATTGTGGCGCAAATCCAGCGAGCGCAGACATGTTAGATCCGTTAGCTCGCCAAAGATCTTCTCCAGCCGATTGTGGTTCAGTGACAAATGCTCCAGCTTCTGCAGCTTGCCCAGCTCCTCGGGTATCTCCGCCAGCTGCGTGCGGTCCAGAGTGAGCCACTGCACCCGCGACATCTGCCGCATGCTGCTGGGGAATGTTTCCTGCAATGAAAGGCAACCGGCCAGCACATGTAACTTCGCATTTACGCACTCCAGGACCTAATCTCCGGCTATGACTAATGCACATTTTTTTCCCCCATAATTCGGTGACCTGTTTTTTTTTTTGCTCTTCGCTTCTCGTTTTCCCGAGACGGAACACAACAATCTGTGTAAATACTCACGCTGAAGTCATTTTTGGTAAAGTCCACACCGCGTATGAACGGCAGCACACTCATGTTGATGCTAACCGCATAAAATTGTAATATTTTGGGCTCAAGCTGATGGCCCTGTTTTTCTATTTTTTTTTTTTCGTTTTTTTTTTTGTTATTTTGCACTCGAAAAAAATAGGTGGCTGGCCCAGGTGGGGTGACCATCCGCCACTCATCCATACAAACTCGTTGGCATTTCAACGGGCCTTCGTATGTGGTTCGATGGTCTGGCCACTCTGGTATTTTAACAGTGTTGGAAAGCACGCTTGGCACACTGGCGTCGCTAATTACGGGGAATGTCTACAATTAAATAATAGCACTTTGTTAATAAAAAAGTTAAGCACAATTAAAATATGTTACATAAATTAAAACAAATGTTAATGGTGTTGCTTTACAAATGGTATTTGTATGTAATATTATGCAGGCTTTGCGTTTTAATCACTGCCGAATACTATAGCCACCAGTGTGTTACGACCAGGTGTTCATTTCCAGGGCTACAGACTTTAGCTGGCAGTTACATTTTGAATTTCACTGTAAAAAACAATTTGAATTATTTAATTTAATAATATTAGGCTTTTAAATTTAGTCTTGAGTATAAATATTATAAACAACTACAGTTTGCTTTGCTTTTAAGAAAATATATGCTTTTTAGGCTTTAGTTATGCGGCAAAGTAACATAAGGCATTTATATTATTCTTGTAGCCATCTTTGTTAACCCAAACGGGAAAGATACTTACATTTTAATTTAAAAAAGAATTAACTATTAAAAATAACCTATCGATAAACAGAAATTAACATACATTTTTTAAGTCAATATTTTTCCGCCCCTGGTGCAAACAAGTAATGGTATTTTTGGTATTATTTTTATTTTTAGTATTTTCATGAAAGTCTTTTTAAAGTTTTTATTGGTTGCACTTAATTAAAACCAACGACTTTGCGACAAATTCGCAATGGGAATTAATTAATGTATATTTACGTTAAATTTGGGTAAATAAATTTGAGGTTTTACAGATTTGAAGACATATTTTTAATTGTACGCGCCACAAAAATTTTAAAATACAGCCGATTTAGTGTGCCCAATTTGGGGATATTTCTACTTTCGTCGCTTGGCAACACCAATTCCGAATTCCCTGCGGTCACACCACCCATCAACTAGCTCTTTCTTTTTTGACGTGACAAGCGAGAAAATGGTTGGTGTTTTTTGTGCGAAAACTAATTAACAAAAATAAGCGACATCCGTGCTCGAAATGGACGACAAACACAAGAAATGAACAGCCAATCGAGTGCTTTACGCGATGGAAACGCTATTTTTTTGTGTGCCACCCGGGAATTCGAAGATTATTAATGATATGTTCTTTGTATTGTTTGTGTTGTCAACCAGGTGAAGGTTAAGTGCTCCGAGCTGAGGACGAAGGACAAGAAGGAGCTCACCAAGCAATTGGAGGAGCTCAAGACGGAGCTGCTCAGCTTGCGCGTCGCCAAGGTGACCGGCGGAGCTCCCTCCAAGCTCTCCAAGATGTGAGTATATGCCGCTGTCCCCTTGTACGTGCCCAGCTAATCTATCCATTCGCTGTTTATGTTTATAGCCGCGTTGTGCGCAAGGCCATCGCTCGCGTCTACATCGTGATGCACCAGAAGCAGAAGGAGAATCTGCGCAAGGTGTTCAGGAACAAGAAGTACAAGCCCCTGGATCTGCGTAAGAAGAAGACCCGCGCTATCCGCAAGGCTCTGTCGCCGCGCGATGCCAACCGCAAGACCCTGAAGGAGATCCGCAAGCGCTCCATCTTCCCCCAGCGCAAGTTCGCCGTCAAGGCCTAGACCGTGCATCGTTGTCGGTTGTCCATATAGTGTGCGTTAAGGTTCTCCAGATGAAGAAAAGTAATAAAACCTTTTTTTTAAAGTGAAACGAAAAACTGTGTGCTATTGGTTATGATTTTTTTTGTCTGTGAAGAGAAACGCGAGTGTCTTGTCACGTGGAAACAAGCTTTGTAAGCTGCTTACTAAACCAAAAAATGGCGCGCATTTGTTAGTTGAAAACTATAGAAGGCATATATATTGATGGCTAAACCAATTGTGCTTGTTGTCATCTATATATAGTCGGAGGTTAGTCGTAAATCCTCCTGGAAACGCGGCCAATCAAACTGACAACTTGTAGTTGCTTAACCTTATAAATATGGCAGACTGGGCTATGATCCCTTGCAGACATCACTCCGTAATTGGAAGAAACCCAATAACCAGCATGGATTACAGATATTTGAAGCTTTTTGAGTTTCCACTGGTATTTCCACACAATGATACGATTTCAAGTGAGTTTCAGTATTGGCCAAGGTATTAGTAGATTTGTTAATTAAAGTTTAAACAGTTTTTCTCGAAAACTTTAAACAGAGACACTCGCATTCCTCAATTGGTCTACGTATGACGAGATTTTAAATTAGTTTCTTGATTAGGCAAGGTGTTAGGAGGAGGCTGTCATATATGCTAGAAGAGTTGTTACTTAAATAATAAACAGTTTTTCATTAGAACTTTAAACACTCTCATTCCTCGACGTATGACACGATTTTAAATGAGTTTCTTGATTAGGCAAAAGTATTAGGAGGCTGTCAGAGTCGTTAGTTAAAGTTTAAACAGAGATTGAAAAGGACTCGCATTTCTCAATTGATCTAAGTATATATATTTATCATTTCGATTGTCTTTGATGTAAGCGCAGCCATACATCGATGCATATATTTATAAATTAAACGGTAATAATTAATTATAATTGATATACGAATTACAAGCTCTTAATGCAACGACTCGACTCTGATTCCGACTCCGATTCGATTCGATTTGATTCGATCATACTGAATATGTTTGGCACATTTGGTTAATACTATTCTTCTGCACAGCGTGGAAGAGCGGTGTGCTGCGGATGACGCCCGACAGCTCCTTGGAGTTCTTGCTTTGGTGATAGTTTCTACTTGTCGTCGTCGACAGCGGCTCGCCCCAGAACTTGAGCAGCGCAAAGATCTTGAAGTAGGCCGCCCTGGAAGACCGAAAAAAATGGAATTAACATGCAATGGAGAATATACTATATCCCAAAGGAACCCTACCTGTAGTTGCGATTGCTGGCCGCATAGATGATCGGATTGATGACACTGGAGGCCCAGGCCATCACCGAGGCAATAATATGCAGCCAGGGATATGAAGTCTTCCGCTCATCGTCCACCACATTAGCCAGCATCAGCGGCAGAAAGCAGATGAGGAAGCACAGGAAGATGGTGACCATCATTACGGTCAGTCGATTGTCCTCGCGCGCCTTTCTCGTACTTGTAGTGGTCACATAGGAGCCGCCTGCCGAGGATCCCTTGCCCGCTGCATTTGCTCCAATCTGAAAGTTGTCATGGCTGCGGATTTTCTTCTTCTGGTGCAGCACCGTAATGTAAATGCAGGAGTACGAGACAATGATCACCACACACGGCAGCAGGAACCCGATCAAGAAAAGTGTCTTCTTGATCGATCGTCCCTCCTTCTTGAGGATTGTGCAGGAGAATGTGGCCTCATCCAGTCCCATCTCACCCCAAATGCCCAGAATGGGTGGCAGCTGCAGGAAAATGTAGTTTTTTATTGGAATTTCTGAGAGTTTTCTTTCTGATTTCCTTTTCTTTGTACTCACCAAAAGCAGAAAGGAAACGGCCCACACGAACAGCAGCTGGAGTGTTATGAACTTGGGCTTGTATATCTGCGAGTAGCGGCTATGGCAAGCAATGAGTATATATCTGTGCAGGGGATTATGTTAGAGAGGATTAGCTAATCTGAGCCGGACAGCCAGAGGATGTGAGATTTTGGCTTACCTGTTCAGGGTGATGCCCACCATGCTGAGGAGTGAAACGGCCACGTTGCCGTAGAAGATCACGGGAAATATCTTGCACAAGGTGGTGCCAAATGTCCAGCTCTGGTTTGAATAATATAGATATGCAAACACATTATTATATATAGCACTATCATCCAAACAGCACAACTGTGACTCACCTCCTGGAAGAATCGCACCGCTGTCAGCGGCAGACTGAAGGAGCAGAAGAGCAGGTCCGAGATGCTCAGCGATATGACGAAGGCGGTGGTGGCATGCTCCCGTATCGTGGGGCTCTTTAGCAGAGCCAGCAGGGTGATCAGGTTACCTGTGTGCATGATGAAGCCAAGCAGGTTAGTGAGCAGCTTGCAGAAGGAAACGGAGGAGGAGGATTACTCACCCAGCACACCGATCGTCACAAAGACGCAGGCACTAATTGCAGCAAACAATGTCGCCGAATGCGGGTAGATTGACTGCGTGGCCGCTGGGGCATCCATCTGCATGTCCGTTGTGTCCATGTTCATAGTCATGTCCAAGTCCATTCTGTAAGAAACCATTAAGGTGAAAAAGGCAGTATTAGTAATGTTGAAAGCAAACTAATTTCCAGTTGCAAACCATCAGATGTCCCTTCTTACATTTTTTGTTACCTGTTTAAGCCCCTAGTTTTCTTACATTTATATTATATATTTTTTTAGAGCAGGATATATGCGGTTTATACTTTTTATACAACATATTAGTTTGAATCATCAAGAGTGCACTACTTGAGCCCGCATAATTTCTGATAATCTCATGGGTATCTTTGAAAGATTAGATAACCGGATGTGTATACAAATTGATATATACTATTGATCCAATTAGAGAGGAAGGCCGGAACTTTGTTTTATTGTCCTAATGAGCTTATTAATCTGTCATTATTGGAAATGTAATTCGGATAACTACTTGGGAAATTGTATACTTTACAAGGTTTATATATAATAGCATCGTCCTGACCCCATTTCCAATGCATTTCTCTATGTGTACGCTTAAAGGAAATATATAAAATCTACGAAATCAAGTTTCCATCGCGTGAATAGCTCTGAATGAATGAATGGACGTACATAAATAAGTACGTGAGACGACTTGAAACATTTAACTAATTTCTGCATTGCGGATGCAATATAGCCCAGTTTGCTTCACTGGAGTTCAGCTGAGCTCAGCTCAGGTTGAACTGTGGAAAAACTTGATCCAATCTAAGCCGATCCTGTAGCCGGGATTAGCGAGGAAGTCTGCATACTCCCACCGGCAACGACAGCGAACAACGACCTATTCGTGAGATATCGCATCCGAGACATTTGATTTATGCGGACTGATTTCGTTATAAGATCGAGCTCAGGCCGGTTAACTGGTCATCGTAATGATCGGATCCGATCCAATGCGATCCGGTTCCTGCACGAATTTTAAATTAAACATTTGTACGAATTTTTCATCGTAACATTTCTAGTTTTCCGTTTTCAGTTTCCTTCAATTTCCTCATCAGAGTCGAGAGCAAGGCAAACGGCTCCACGGCTCCACGGCTCACGGCTCTTTAGCTTTGGATAGCACACAGCATGACGACATATATCAAATAGCAGCTGACTGTGACTGTGGTGTGATTGATGGCAACAAGATTATTTATTATCAAATCAGGATTCAGAAGGAGATCAATGTCAGCGCCGACCGGCGACGGGAACATGAAAGGATAATTAAGTAGCTGTCGTTCCCGAATATTATAATTGTTGGTTTGATCTTAAGGCCTTAAGCTGCAAATAGTAATAATAATTATCATTTTACTCACTGCCGACTCCTATTTAATTATCATAAACAAGCAGCAACAGTTCCGTTTTTATTTATTATTTGATTTGATAATAAAACTATAAGGTAATGGCATCCGTGAGAATCAGGCAGATTTACTGATGACTCAGAATCGACCAGTTTCCGTTGCTTTCTTTTATTATTAATCAACGTATTAATTTTGTATTTAGATTGTCTTCCTTCTTAGTCACGTATTTAGTGTTTTTTTTTAACTTAACACAAAAAGGCTATCAGTTCTGATATGGAAACGAAAGCGATTAAGATAATACCAGCCATTTAAATTCTGTGAAAGTCAGGCGGAAAATACAGTTTTTACACATTTTTTCAGCTTATAGGAAAACTACAATTTGGTTATATTATATTGTATGTTTTGCGAGGGAGTTAATCGAATTAATCTGTGTTTTCCTTAGTCTGCGCAATAACATGTGAGTAAAGCAATTAACATAAAGATTGCTACCGTGTTTGATGATTAACTTTTGATAAAAACCTGTCATAAAATTTGAATAAAACCTGAATACTTCGTAAACTAATTCGATTCGGTTTATTTACGGAAAGTGTTCATTTTTTTGATTAAGGAAAACGCGTTTTAATTGCACACAAAACTTGACTGTAGGCGATTAACACATGTAGAGCCCGATTAGTGCGTTAATTCGATAACCAAAACCGATTTTCGACCTTGTTTGCGTCTTGTTTCTGATTTTGAAATAAATAATGGATTCGATATGCTGTCAGTGAGATTTTGAAGACGATTTCTTATCGGCTTGAGGCCTGACACAAACATACAATAAGTTCTGGGTTTCAAAACAGTTTTTTTTTTTTTTTTTCGAAATCAGGCTCTTGGCAAAAGGCCCCTTTGAATTTGTAATTGTTATCGTTGCGAACAAGCACTGCAAGGAGCTATCAGCGACTTTAACATTAATGCACTTTTTTACGACCAATTAAATTTTCATTTTCCTTTCTTTTCCAGTTGATAAGCGGGCGAAAGCGATGGCTACCCAGTGCCTGGCGGCGACACAAATTGAATCAAATGGTTCCAGTTCCCATTCCCGTTCCCACTCCCAATCGCATTTCCATTTATATTTCCATATTCAATGCTGAGTTACACCAGTTTTGGATTCAGCTTTTCCGTCCAGTAAAAACAAGAACCGACCATCATATGCTGCGCGTATCGAATCAATGACACTTTCAATTAAGCCGCGCTTTGTCACTCTCCCAGTAACTTTTTTTGTTTTTCCAGTTTCATTATTTTTTGTGCAGAGATAACGCTTGCCTCCAACTGTTTTGCATATGCACACAATTCCATTTATTTAATGCTTTCTATTTGGTTCGGTTAAATTAAAAAGCGCCTTGTTACGCATTTAACGATGTTTCCGGTGCGTGCTGCTAGAGCTCCTCTTCTGGGAAAGCTGGGAAAGGGACCGAACACCACCAGCAGAAGGGGGTGCTACGTACATATATACAAATATATACAATATATATATGTACATGGACATATATGGAACCATGGGGAAAGGGGAACAAACCATGGAAAACCAAGGGGAAGCCCAGAGGAAGGGGGTGATAAGTGGGGACAGCGGTTCGCTTTCATGCATGATCAACATGTGTGTTTGTTTTCAGAGCTCGACGGTCTTGTTGTTTCAGTTCTTTCCTTTTCGGTTTTCGGACAGGGGAGAAGCAGAGCAAAACAGCCAGCAACTGGGAATCTGAATATGCATCCCACCACATAGCACAGAACACCATGCCCAAGCCAGGCCATGCCATGCCATCGCATCCCATATGAAAACAGTCCCGAGTTGTGCGTGATCTTACAACAGTGGTGGAGATAATAGAGATAATAATCACATTTTCACAAATTTAATAATGATTTAAATACCAATCTTTACGTATATTAGGATTTAACGCTAAGACTCTGGAGCTCTTTGAAAATTCAATTCTAAACCTCGATCATAAATAGTATAAAACAAATATATGTGCAAATTGTAGGGGAATTGTGGCTAGAAATTCACAGATCTCCGAGTGCTATGCTGCTGACCGTGACTGTGTTAGGGGAGGAGTGCCCCCTCAACAGTTGGCAATGATGATGGCACAGATATCAGAGATAACGCTCCCCACTTTCAGCAGGGATGTACGGATTCCTATGCTTCTCTCCCCTCCCCAACAAAAATACGCACATTATGTACACACAGCTAAGCACATAAGGTATATATATACATACATATGATACATATGTACATATATTTACATCAAAGTCTTATCAGCCTTGGTTTCCCACCGCCAGAATTCCTTATAAGCCCTTCAAGACAAGCAGCGGAACGAAGCTTAAATATAATCAATCAATAAATATGTGGTTTGCGGTTGGGAAGGAGGAGGAAATCATATTCAAATAATTATTTCCCACAGAGAGAAAAATATGTGTCATCTTATCTGTGTGTGACATTATTGACATTAAAGTCTTTTGAGAATTAAATGTGATGGATTATAATACATAAATATATTTAATTTCGCCTTGTTAAGCTTTAAAAGTATATAACATAGATAGGATAGTAGGGTTTAGCTTCTCCCGAGCACGTTGTACTAACTTAGCTTAAAATTTTCGTATTCCTTGAATCCTAATTTTTCTATAACAATACTATTCGAAAATCGAAGTTTGAAAAACTCATAACTTAGCCAAAAAAACATTAATTTTAATTCAGAAAGCGTTATGTTAGTTTTGATCAGCTTAATAAATCTGCATACTCAATTTCAAATTTTGTAAAATTTTAACCATGTAACCCCTTTGCTTTTTTATAATATCTGAAATAAAAACCTTTATTAGGTAAATAGGATAACCACTTTTTGCTTGTTTTTGAAACCTTTAAAATTATAAAACCAATCACTTTTTATTACTCTTATTTTCCGTGGCGTTGTACCAAAAATATTTCCCACTTTCGCTGCACTTTGCTGACTAATCAAAACCTAAGTAGCAGCTTTAAATCCCCAATAAGTTTATCAAAAGCATATGTATATAAATATATATATAAATCTATATATGTATGTACATATGTAAATAATGCACATGTGTATTGGAACGTTTTGGAGCTGGGTTTTTTTTTTCTCGATATTTTTCAGAGACTTGAGTTGAATGAGTCGCTGCTACCAACAGTTGTTGGGCGCGGAGGAAGATGGGGCAACGGGGCAATGGGCAATGATTCATGCAGCTGACATTTAAAAAGAGCCGGGGGGGAAGGAGATGGCGCATCGGAAGCAGCAGAATACGAAAAAAATCTGTGTAAATAAAAACAAAAGACTTTCCGGGAACACAGGAGGGGGATTATTAAAGAATGACAGAATGCAAATGAGCAGATAAAAAATATACGTTTTAGCTAATATGTGTTTAAAATGTTATTTACAATTAAATAATTTCCACAAGTAGATTTTTATTACCTTCTTTAAACTATAACAAGTAATTAATTTATATTATTTTATCTCAATTATTGGCAAACATTTTTCTATCGGTGTATTGCATCAGCCTGCTCCCTTCTTCTCTCCCTCATCCTTATCCCGCTAATGTTCTCCCCCTTCCCATATCATTGCTGATTTTTTTTTGCTTTGGGAGGGTGGAATCGGGATTTCGGATGCGGCAGAGTGAGATGAGGATAGGCACACATGAATAGGGAGAAACAGCCGTTCCTTAATCGTTTTTTTACACTCATACCTATGCACTCCTTCGCATGCGTGCATATGTGTGCGTGTGGACAAAACTGCAGCAGCAGCAGCAGCAGCAAAAGAAGCAACAACAACAAGCCTAATAACAAAAACCAGCACAATTGTCTTCCCTCAAATTGTTAACAAAAGTGGCTGATTGCTTTTTGGACAGATTCTGGTATTGGTAAGACTCACCTGAACTCGTTTCTATACGCGTCTGTGTGTTTCCGCTCTTTTTGTTATTTTGTACTCTTCGTTCCCTAAATGCTATTAAATTGCATTTTGTTTGGCGCACAGCACTCGCTTCGAATTAACAAACACAGATATTGGGCAAGACAACAGGAAAAAAATTATGCAAAAATAAATAAAAAATATAAAGTCAACCGATTCTGGCCTTCCTCTGACTTTGTGGCCTTTTGTTTTTGTTTCTTTTAACGTTGGCAGTGACACACTGTATGATAGAGGGGGGGAGGTAGATCTCCGATCACGCAGCTCGTATTTCGTATTTTCTTTGGCAATTAACGGCAATATTAAGAACAACACAACGGAACGGGAATGGGAACGGGGGAAAAAAGAGTCTCCGCGGAGAACTTCTTTGCTCGCGACTTCGATTGGATCTCGTCTCGTAAACGCTGCCCACAATCACGATTGCGATTGCCAAGCTGGGTTTGGAGCGAAATATCGATACTGTCGGATAGTTCATTCTCGTTCTGTTCTATCGATATGTCGCGGCCGCTGCGCAAGCGCCTATCGGCGGACAGACAATGAATTTTGAATTGTTAAAAATTACAATTATTTTGTTTAAAAAGGAAAACGAGCTCATTAAAGGAAATTAAGTAATGGGATCCATGGCAATAAGGGAATGACTTAAAAATAATATATGCATAGCTAACAAAGCTGTATCTAGACTAAGTCCTGATCTTTTCTTAAGAATCTACATATATAAATAATATAATAGTCATGGTTAAGACTTACCCCATTAAAGGCCACGTCATTGTTTACTTCCTTCCTTCAATTAGGGTAATCATGGCATCGAAGATCACTTCCTGTTTATCCAGTTGTATTCCATTGGCCACGTCATTGTTTTTATCACTGCCACTATTACCACCGATGTTAACACTAGGTACCCCTAGGACTGACTGAGCTCGCGGCGAACAAAGTGCCTCTATTTATACTTCCCGGCGCGAGATAACAGAGAAACTGAGAGCGGGAGAGTAAGAGTTAGGCAGAGAAACTTACAGAGAAAGAGTTAACATCTACATATATAAATAATTTAATAGTCATGGTTAAGACTTACCCCAGTAAAGGCCACGTCATTGTTTACTTCCATCCTTCAATTAGGGTAATCATGGCATCGAAGATCATTTCCTGTTTATCCAGTTGTATTCCATTGGCCACGTCATTGTTTTTATCACTGCCACTATTACCACCGATGTTAACACTAGGTACCCCTAGGACTGACTGAGCTCGCGGCGAACAAAGTGCCTCTATTTATACTTCCCGGCGCGAGATAACAGAGAATGTGAGAGCGAGAGAGTAAGAGTTAGGCAGAGAAACTTACAGAGAAAGAGTTAACATAGCTCTGTATATGTACAGTGGGAGTTGGACATTCCGAATAACATAGTGCTCGAGAGCAAGAGAGGGAGGGCTGTTAATGCTAATGTTAAGAAATTACTCCTTACATACAAAGAAAGAGTTAACATAGCTCTGTTTAGTGATCGCGAGCGAGAGAGTTACTAGTTCATTAGTTAGTTAATTCTTTCAGTTAGTTGCAAGCTCCTGACTTAATTAATAACAACTAATTCTCTGCAAGGTTATAAATAATATAGTTTTTTATTTTAAATATACCACAACCAACTGTTGTTGCCGTACTTGTATTGTTTTAAGTAATTATTCTTCCTAGCTCAGAGCTTAAATTATTATAAACAAATGCTAATCGGGGTTTTAATTTAAATTTTAAATGTTACCTTTTACCAAATGTTAAACAAAAAATTCATCTAAAATTGTTGTGAAATTTAATTTTTTATCGATTAAGATTTTATTATATGTACATTATTTTCTTCAAAAAAATGCAATAAAATATTTGATTGCTTTAATTAATATACATCTTTATACAAATATCCAACAAAGGACAGACACTGGGTCTGAGGAAACTCAGTAATACACCAAGAAAATATATTAGTGATAAAAACAAAAACAAATAAATCAAAAGTAATTATTTTACAAATATGTTAAATTATTTTTATTGGCTATTTTATGGTTTTTATGTGCAATTTTAGTTTTGTCCACATGTATTCACAATTTGCATGTTTTAGCACCGTTTGCCTTTCACCTTTCGCCGGCTTTTACTGAAGGTCGTTGATAGCAATTAAAGTCTCGTTAGCAGTGAAGATAAGGTACTTTTAAGGATTTGTACCTACATTTTAGAAATAAAGCAGGTGAATTTATTTAAGTGCAAAAAAAAAACACCCTCAGGGTATCGGGTATAGGAATCCCCTTGGATTTGTACCAAATTCTTGACATCACTGGTCATTACTGGGGTAACAGGTGGATTGCTCTCGATTTTCTGCACCTCTGCATTCTAGGATTAGACTGCAGCCAGGATGCGTCCAAAATGGGTGCGGTTTCCAGCCCGATTTTGGGAATCGAATCCTTTGAAGCGGGTAGTACGAAAATATAATGATCAAGGAAGATCCTTCTTTGAGCATCTTAAAAGAGGTGTAAGCCACTGTCGAGGTGGGGAACTACTCCAGACTACAAGATAGTGATTAGTTTATTAATATTACGGTTATTCCAGAGAACCAGGTGCGTGGGACAAGGCAGAACTTCCTTCACAATGGCACCTTCCACGAGGCAGTGGCTCCTGTCCTGGCGGTGGCTCAATTCTTTTGCATAATGCCCGTTAGCGGTATATGTGCCGTCACCCATCGAGGATTGAGCTTCAGCCGAAGGAGCTGGCGGTTCTGGTATAGTCTCCTCTACCTCTGTTCCACATCCGTGGACCTGATGTTCAGCATACGCAAAGTGTTTCACGGTGTCCTGGATGTGCGCAGTGTGGGTGAGTGTCGGAGTCCACATTTTATTTATTCTTCAACCTTAAGCCTTCACATCTTTGTACTCCTTTGTAGAACCCATCGTTTTCCACGTTAGCATCCTGGTCGCCTCCTGGCAGTTCCTTAACTTGGCCAGACTCTGGCCTGGCCTGATGCATCATTGGGCTGCCGTTGAGGATCGGTTGCCGGGCTATCGTTGCTGTCGGGATCGGGATCGTCTTGCTCGTCGCATCCAGCTAGTGGCCTTCCTTCTGCTGGCCCTATCCCTGAGTTGGGTGAACTATTAGTTACCAAGATGTAGTCCGATTCTGAGCTCTCAATCCTCGTCCTTGCAGTGGAGCACCTGCTGAGCATCATCTCGGTGGTGTACTATGACTTCTGTCCTCAGAGAAGCGATCCCGTGGAGTCATATCTGCGCGGTACCAGTCTCCAGCTCTTCTCTGTATTTCCCTACTCCAACTGGCTGGGTTGGCTGGGCAAGCTGCAAAATGTGCTGCTCACCTTCGGCTGGAGTTACATGGACATCTTCCTAATGGTACTGGGCATGGGTCTCACCGAAATGTTGGCCAGGCTGAACCGCAGCTTGGAGCAGCAGGTGCGACGGACCATGCCGGAAGCCTACTGGACCTGGTCGCGGACCCTTTACCGCTCCATAGTGGAGCTCATCCGGGAAGTGGACGATGCTGTTTCCGGCATCATACTAATCTCCTTTGGCAGCAATTTGTATTTCGTGTGCCTCCAGCTGCTCAAGAGCATTAAGTAAGTTGGTATGGAGGAGCCATTGAGAAACTGAATCCAGCTTGTCCTTGTTCCAGCACAATGCCCTCCTCAGCCCACGCTGTCTACTTTTACTTCTCGCTCCTGTTCCTGCTGGGTCGCTCCTCGGCTGTGCTCCTGTTCGTATCGGCGATCCACGACCAGGCCCGGGTGCCCCTGCGGCTGCTGCGATTGGTGCCCTCGGAGGGCTATCATCCGGAGGTGTCACGCTTTGCCGCAGAGCTGGCCAGCGATCAGGTGGCCCTCACCGGGCTCAAGTTCTTCAGTGTCACCAGGCAGCTGTATTTGATGGTGATTTGCTTGGAGTTTTCCCTGGAAAATATGTTCAAGGATTTATTATATTATTTCCCAGGTGGCGGGCACAGTGGCCACTTACGAGCTGGTACTCATTCAGTTCCACGAGGACGAGAAGTCCTGGGATTGCGAGCTAAACGATGATGATTAAGATTTCGAACTGTGTTTGTTATGGCGACAAAGGGTAGGCTGCCTTCTTGTTAAATGGTTCTCATCACGCATACGCAGTGTTGTCTCTACTTAAACACAATTTCTGCTGGGTTTGTTCTTTGATCTAATAGATAAATCTGAGGGATTTTGGTATACTTGCTTTATAACTTCGATTCGGTATTAGAGAGATATGTCTTTGACATGACTTATGGTTACTGGTTATTAAGCCCATCACGTATACGCAGTGTGTATCCTGAAAGCTCACATTTCATTACGCTTAAATTTATTCATTTAATGTGATTTTTGCCTAACTGAATTTATAAGCGGTTGGCATATATATTTGTGCATTAAAAATGCAACTCGGTTGCATTGGAACAACATAAACACTATGCTACACAGCAGCTGTCACAGGAATTGGAGCTGGATAACCAGTTTCCATCTGCCCGCTTTTTCTACGCGCTTTTCGCCATTTACTTTCCACTTTTCACATCATTTTGGATTTGGATTTTTGTCCAGTCGTTGTCCAGGCGTGAGTATGGGTGATGCAATGGCCAACCATAAATGGTGCACGCTTCCTAGGCACACCGCAATGCGTGGATAACGGCCATTGCATTTGAACTGCAACAAACTGAACCGAATTGAACCAGTTGGCCAAATGCCAATGCCGATTGCCTGGCTCCTCTGCATCTCTCCAGCTCAGCTCCTCCTCGACATCCCTCACAACCCACATCCCGCAAATCCAACTCCTCGACGCCTCGACGGGCCGACACTTCCGGCCAGCGGTCCGGTTCCAGTTGCAGCCAGCTCCAGCTCCAAGCCAGTCAGCGAGCCAATTGTTAACCCAATTCGAGACGAATGGAGTTCGGGGATCACATCCCGACATGGTCGCTTTGGGGTATATAAAGCAGCGCATTCGGTTCACCGCGCAGACACACATCGCGCACTGCAGCACCCGTCGAGTCGTCGTAACTATGGCCAGATATCAGAGTATCATTCACTCCCTGGGCGGGATCGGGCTCCTGTTGATCCTGGCGCTCGGTGATCACTTGGTTAACGGCCAGTACCTTCCATCGCCTCGCTATCCTGGTCCCGTGGCCATTCCACGGCCGCAGAGATCCCTCTTTGGTCCTGGTCCACCCATCGGCTGGAGCAGCGGCGGTGGTCATGGCTGGAGCAGTTCTCCCAGCTTCGGATTCAGTCATTTGCCGCCCTCCTCCAGTCCGCATGTGACCAAGGATGAGCTGCTGGCTCTGCTGGCCGCCTGGAAGGATGTGGAGAAGCCAACTACACCGGCACCGGCACCAGAACCGGAGGATGAGCCAGAGCCGGAGACCACGCCGGCTCCACCACCGCCAGAGGACGAGCCGGAACCAGAGCCGGAGGCTCCTGCGCCCGAGGCCCCAGCTGGACCTCCGCCCGGCGTTCCGGTGACCGTTTCCCTGCCCGCTCTGGTGCCCATTCAACTTGCCGCCATGTGGCAGCAGCCAGGACCCGGAGCAGCGGTCGGTGGACTGGGCAATCTGGGTCTGGCTGGCCTGGGCATAAGTAATACGGGTGTAGCCCTAAACAATCTGGGAGGCGCAGCTGCTGGAGGCGCTGCCGCTGCTGGAGGCGGTGGAGCGGCTGCAGCTGGAGCCGCAGCAACGGCACGCTCCGGACAAGGTCGTTCCCAGGAGCGGGCTAGAATCGGAGGACGAGCACCAGCCATCCGTTTCCCGGTGGCCAATCCGCGTAGCTTTGCTTCGGGCAACTATGTGGCGCCCAGGCCGCGTTATTATCGCGATACAGAGCCAATGAGGTGAGTACTTAAATCTGGAAAATATCATTTTGGAAAATATATTAAATTTTAAAACCTTAAGCCTTGAAAATTATAATTGAAATAATTCAAATATTTCAAATAACTTATAATTTTCTCTATTTCGGCAGCTATAACGTGATGGCATCTCCACAGTATCAGCCATATCAGCAGGGTCCGGTGCAACTGGTGAACGCCTATTGGCAATAGTCTGCAAACATTTTAATTATGTTTATAATTGTACTGCCCATAACTCTCTCTCTATAAGCTCGGAACTGTACAAAGCTATATAGTTATATATGCACATGAGTATGTATATAGAATGCCATGAATGCCTGTTAACAAAGTCGTATTTTGTTGTTGTTTTTTTTTTTTTGAAGATTTACCAATAAAGAAATATTTTAACAAACTATTTAAACAAAGATTTATAATTGGGGCATTATTTAAGATGGGAAATCGCTTGGGATATTGCTAGAAAATAGAGAAATTACTTTAAAAAGACATAATTTTTAAAAGGTTTAATCCCTGATACCAGAATTACAACCAGTTTTCCTGGGGGATTGGGATAGAGCACAGGGTTTCTCCTGTAACGTATTTATCAATAAATTAAATATTACATAACGATCGTTAAATAAAAGCTATAAACTAACTTCTGGAAGACAAACTTTATAAACCCTAGCAGTTTCCTATCGAATTATAATATTTAGTCGAAAATCGGTCATGCTAATTTTTATATAGCAATTTTTTCGAAAAATCCAAGTTTAAAAAACTAATATTTTTAAGAGTTAATTAAGGAATAATAGCACCATAAACACTTTGGCTAATTGAAAACGAGTAAACCATAGATATATAATTAACGTATTCAGTGAGAAACCAGTGCGTTTTATCGGTACAAGTTGCACAACCCCACGAAAGGTGCCACTTGTAATTAATTGATTTCCGAATAGCAAGTCTTTCGTCGCTCATTAGCACCTGTTTGGACCAATTTAAATAAGCCTGGCTTTTAGCCAGCCAATGCAATAGGTATTAGCATACGCTGGGAGATTGAAGCTCCATAATTTACTTATATCGCAAATGCCAGAAACAAATCTCGGCTTTCGTCACATTTTTACTGACAGCTGACGGCGTCCATAAAAGCATCGCTTATGAATTTATATACATACATATATATATATACATATATGCCAATGGACAGGACAGGACACCTATCCTTATCGGGAGAGCGTGTTTGGCTACTGAGCATCGAGTCCAATCCATGCCAATTCCCGATGGTGTTGTAGCCTCACCCAGTTTACGTGATTGCCATGACTGCTCCAGATTGCCGACAAATGAGACATTAAGTGTACGATGATGGTCTTCATGGCACGAAACTGGATTCGTAATCCAGTTGGGCGCTGCTAGGACAGGGCATCTTCGAAGCACCAAATCGAAAGACTGCAGTTACATGGAATTTGTTATTATTATTATTATAATTTCGTATAAAATTGTAAGTTTGTATAAGGATCTAAATAAAAATAATTTATAAATTACTTGACAAGACATTACACACTTTGCTTCACCGACATTGTGGCGGCATCAAATTGATTATCTAATTTTGATATTTGAATCACATGCAAAGTATAGAAAGTTGTGCAATTTAAGCACAAGAGGGAACCTGTCCTATTGCAGCCCTTTTCCATTATGACATCTATATACCAGTTGATTTTGAACAGAGAATTTTATGCAAAGACACTACAATAATCAACAAATAAGTCTGACAGTAAACAAAATAAATATATATCGACTATTAGTTAAGTCTTTGGTCTTTTGTGGCTAAAAGGAAATTACTAGTGTAACGGCTGGCGTGTTGGTGCTTATGGCATTTTCACACATTTCACTCAAATGGAGATTGTTGTCGTGACTGCCACCTGTATGGACGATATACAAACGATGATGACCAAAAGCGCCGTCTCGCGGGTAGGCGTAAAAAACAATTAATACGTGCATTACGCACGAGAGCAACGCCCATTCCGTGCATGTGCCCAGTTTTGGACTTCCCGTTAGGACGCAGATCTCGATCTGGATCTGGATTTTGGCTTATATGCACCAAGCAGACGTGATCTCTTGCGCAATACGCGAGGAGGGGCTGAATTGACTAATCCATAGCAATAAATAACAAATTAACACATGGAGAACAGAGAAATGAGACTAGATTCCAGCAACACGACGCCAAAGTATCCAAAGACTTTGGTGCAACGCCAGCAGAGCGAATGCGGCGGCCAGCACATAGTTCAGCCTGTAGATGGCGGCCTGACAGTACAGCAGCACAATGCCGGCCAGGAAGTACAGCACGATGGAAAGCATCCAGTAGCCGGAGCTGCCAAGGGATACATGTGTTCAACGAATTCAATAGAAGACAGAGTTACACTCACCATTTTTGAGGCGCTCGCAATTGCAAAAGCAGGCTGAGAGAGCCTAAGACCACAATGCTGGTATACAGATTCGGATCTGGGAGCGCTATTCCGTGGCTGAAATGGGGAAGTTATATATCTACTTATACGGTATATTCCTCAATAAGAACTCACCGGCGACTGCGCAGCCAGGCTAAGCTACTGGGAGCATTGAGCAGAAGTTTCATGAGCAGCATCAGGAGCAGGGTGACATGAAAGGAAAAGTTTTGAAGGCCCAGGCAAGGCTCCGATTCCTCGCCTTTCTGTTCCTCCTCCTCCTCATTCTCCTCATTCCCTTCCTTCTCTTGCAGCTGATCTTCATTTCGTTTCTGTTCTCCTTCTGTCACATCATCCTGAGCCACTGCCGCCGGCTTTCCTCGCACCAGATTGGCCGCCTTCTGCCACAGGAAATCCTCCAGATAATCCTTGTAGGCATTCGACAGGATCAGAAAGTAGAAAACAAAGGCCAAGAGCAAGGCTATACCGCTACACGAGCCCACGGCCGTGGCAATGGTCAGGATGCCATACGTGATCGGCAAATTGGTCATTATCGAGATCATTATGTTGGAGCTGGCCTGCGATAGCCGGGTGAGCCGCAGGGCAACGCGGTAGAAGGCATTGCCGTAGAGCGTCAGAGCCAGCCAGGTGCACAGAGTGGCCAAGAGGGACAGGGCCATAGCCGCGCAGTGGATAACAATGGACACATTGATGCTATAGTCCAGATTCTCTGGTTCTGGCAAGATCCGGCTTGTAATGATCAGTTTCTTCAGCAGGCGACAGCCTGAAAGGAAGATGTGTACAAAATTGGCAGAGATCACAACACACGTATACAAACAAACCTGTGACCACATAAAGGGAGGTGTACTGCAGATAGCCGACATAGGGACGTAGGCTGCGGAAGCTTCCCACCTCGTGAAACAGCTGGACCTGCTTTCTCAGCACGATTAACAGGACGCAGGCTAGGTGGGCGGGCAGCCAGCCGTAGAACTCCAGCACCAGGCGGGATAGAGCCGAGGCATAGGAGTACTCGTAGCTGGGGATAACATATGTATGTGGATCAGAGCGAGAAGGGGTGGGTAAGCGAAAATGAGTGAGAAGGTATGAGCGGTTCTTTGCGTTTCACAGTTCTCACCTGATCCGATACCGACACACGGGATCCAGATACAGATCGAGTGTCACCGGGTTCAGCGTGGTATTGTAATGCCTCGGCACCAGCGTCGGCACATTGGCGAACAGCTGCGGCTTCTGGTCCACCGATCTGCAATGAATGAATGAAGTAACCATACATTAAATCTTTTCAATGGAATACCCGAATTTTTTAGCTTACTTCAATGTCTGGTAGCGCTCAAAGCCTGCTGCCCAGGGGACACACAGCCTGGCGGTCACTCGATATTCCGGATTTATGCACTGCAGCGGCTCCACAATCACCCGAATGCTCTGATAGGGATCCACCATCTCAGCGATGCGAATGCGATGATGCAGCGTGCCCTGGAGCGTCTCATTGATCAGCGGCAGGCGGGCCATGGTATACCAGCGGGGCATTCGTATGTCTGATACCCGCTCTTTGGGATCGTAGATGTCCAGATTGTAGCCGGTTCGTCGTTGACTGGGCGGCAGACGCACCACCACATGAGTCCACTGCAGGTAGGTCTTTCGCAGGTTGTGCAGATCCAAAATAGCAATGCTGCGCGGATCGTGATCTTCATTGGGCAATCGCTGTACGAGATGCATCAGCGAGGTGGCCTTTTCGCTGGATTAACCGATCTGTTAGATGTCTATTTTTAAGTTTCTTCGTATATTTACCAGTAAAGTTGCCCCGTCTTGTGGTGCTCTTCGGCGGCGCAGCCAAATAACCAGTCATCATCGTCCACATTCAATGCTTCGATGGCCATCTTCTTGTACCGCTCCTGGCGCTGCAGTCCAATTAGATCATAGTAGATGCCCTTCAGGCCATTGGTGAAGAACTTGTTGATCACCAGGCGCTTCTCTTCGTGCCAGCTGCCAATGACTCCCAAGTGTACAGTGCTCTGTTGACGCCTTCTCGGTTTCTGGTGATTAAAAATGATTTAGTTCCTAGTTAGCAGCATGGAATCGTCCGGGAGAAACTCACCACAAAGTGGGCCAGGGCTGACTGCAGATTACGCTGCTTGTTGGTGCCGAAAACCACCGATGAGCGGTCATCGCGGACGTGGGCAATACTGAACAGGAAGCGGTTGATGGCCTGCATGAACTGCAGGCACCACACGGCGGACAAGTGGTCGCAGCTGAGACTCACCCGCGGAATTGCCGAGGTCTGCGCGAGGAGAACATTTAAGTGAAGGATTAACTAGACAGTCTCCGGACTTACCATTGCGTGCAAATCGTTGAACCGGGAGGTGGTGAGCCCAGGTCGTACAAGTAGATCCCTATTGCCGCCGCCCGTGGAAATGAGCAGCACATTGTCCAGTCGCGCCGAGCTCTCCTGGCTGGCCATTCGCACCACACTCGGCGGTCGCTGGTGCAGGCTTTCACACACGTTGGTCGTACTGGTGGGCACCGTGGCAGTGCGCAGCTTTTCCAGTACGTCGTCCGTCTGGGCATAGAAGGTCTCCAGCTGCCCGTCTAAATTAAGCACCGGCTTGTCCAAGGGCGTAGAGATGCTGATGATCGTATTGATGTGCTGGCCAATAGCCGGGTCCACTAGCACCGACTGCGCCAGCTTGCCGCCCATGGAGTGGCCAATGAGAACGATCGATGGCTGCTCGGTGCGGTCCTCGTAAATAGATAGAATGGTGCGGACGCAGAGTTTCAGGTAGCTCAGCTGCCGGTGGAGGTAGCCGCCGTAGAGTGCGGACAACTCCTCGTCAAAGTCGATGGTGTAGTAATCCAAACGGATGCCGGCATCATCGGACATGGCTTTTCTCAGGGCCACGGAGCCCAGGGAGCGTACTTGCTTATAGGAGCCGGCGTTGCCGGGAATGAAAATAACCGGCGCTCCAGTCATCTTGCGTTTCAGCGGGTCCACCGGCTGTCGCAGGCCTTCGTAGTAATAGTACAGGCCGTAGTTTGGGTACCGGTCACCATTCTTTACTCCAACAGGCTAAGAATCACGTAAAATCAGTGTTTGTACATCAAGAAACATGAATACTTACGGCAAACAATGGCTCGCTGAACATATAGGTCATCCGGCAGGCATTTGGCTCCACCTCCGCGTACAGGTGGAACAGGCCGAAGATGAAGCAGCAGACGGAGCCGATCACCAGCAGTACGGCGCAATTTCGAAACATAAACATCGTAAAATTGTCAATTTTTCATAGTGTTGTTTATGTCGTCTTTTTTTGTTTTCTTTTTGTAGACAGCTGAGAAGGATATCGATAAGCGATAGGTCGCGTGAGTGTTACAAAAGGCTATCGGTGTCTTAACTTAGCCGATAGTTATCTGAAGCTTATGTGTTCCCAATATATTATTTATTTATGTACATTTTTATGATTATTTAAAATGACGTTTATGTTATAGGTTTTTTTTTATAAATCGGTATACATTACGCAATCATTCATTTTTTGGGCTTTTGTTTTCTCTAAAATGATAATAATTTATATGATTCAAATTAATTTATAAACAACCTGTATTATTTAGTATATGCAAAATTTTATAATATGCCTTTGAAGCTTATTAACACCTGCTCTGATTTATGTAAATACCCAGTTCAACTGTATTTAATCAATATTTATAGATAGTTTATGTTTATGTGTAGCTGAAGATGCGCTCATCTCTAGGTCCGTATATATGTATATGCATCTGCATGGGTGTCGTACTTATCGATCACTGTGTTGTTTGCTAGTTGATCATTCAGTTAACGTACGCGTGCGCTCGCCTCCGATCCGCCGATCCTCGACGATCGATCTTCCAGATTCATATTGAAATTCCGATTCCTATCCGAACGTACCGGAATTGTCAACAAAGGCAGCGGCGCCGGCGTCAGCATCATCGATTCGAATTGACGCTTCGTAACGTGTTTACGTTTCTAAGTCTGCCCTGTGTTCAAGTGTGTGTGCTAGTGTATGTGCGTTTGAGCCAGCCTGTTTGAGCCCGGAGTGTTTGTGTGTGCGCGCTTAATTCGCGTACTCGTATTGGTGCGTTTGTGTCGTCTAGCCGCGCTTGTTGTTGTTGTTGCAGCTTGGCTGGAAAAGACAGTTTATGCCCTAGCAATAACAAAAACAAAAACAACGAGAGGCTTGCTCAGCTGCCGTCGACGTTGACGTCGCAGCCTCTGCTGGCGCATGTGATCCGTCGTCGATCCGCTCGCTAGTTGTTGCTATTTAGTGTTCGTTGTGGTGTCGCTTGTTGTTGTTTTGATCGGTTGCGTTCTGTAATATATATAGTCCGCCTATTATTTGTTATATATAGTGCAAAAAACCATCAAATGCCTGGAAGCAGCCGCAGCAGCAGCCGTTTGTGTCTGTCGGTGTGCCTGTAATTGTTATTTGTTGTAAATTGCACACGCACACGGCAGAAACCCGTATATATATATATATATATATATACAGTACAGTGGCATCGCATCTGCGGCTATAGAGTAACTCAAAGTTATAGCATTCCATTCCGTTCCCGACCGTTACCCCAAATACACACGCACACAACAAACACACACATCATCATGGAAATTTGGCGCTCGCTGACAGTGGGCACATTCGTGCTCCTGGGCATCCTCTGCTTCTACGGCACAGTGGAGTCCTGCAATGAGGTCGTGTGTGCCTCGATCGTCTCCAAGTGCATGCTCACCCAGAGCTGCAAGTGCGAGCTGAAGAACTGCTCCTGCTGCAAGGAGTGCCTGAAATGCCTGGGCAAGAACTACGAGGAGTGCTGCAGTTGTGTGGGTAAGGTCATATCAGTCCGATCGCGGTTGCAGCGCTGCAACGCTGCTGCTGGGCGGTGGGTGGTTTAGGGTGCATAAATGGTCGAACCGATTGTATTCGCTGTGATGATGTGATTTCCAACGCTTTGTTTTTGTTGTTGTTATTTGACGTCGTCGTCAAGTGTGTGTGGCGCCTGTATTTGTATGGGGGCGAGCTTGCGATGTGCCAACTATGAAGTTATCGATAGCGCGCTTGAGCTGGCAATTGGCGTAGCCGTAACCCTTCCTCGAGTCACCTAGGTTTAAAGTAGCATGATTAAGGCACAAGATTGAAGAGTCCTACGTCACTATTGCACAAGGACTATGTTGTTAATATACCCTTGAAGTTATAAGCTTCTGACTAAACTTATAATACCCTGCAAGGGCATCGATTTAACATTTAAATATTTTATATTGTGTGTATTGTGTTTTGTAATGATTGCTAAAAAGTCTCATATATTTTCATTAATATCTTTATCAGTTAAAAATAACAAATTAAGAAATTGAACAAATTAATTTTTCGACTGGCAAAATTCTACGGGTCAAGCTTTTCTAAAACCAAAAGATAAAATTCAATCCTTTTATTAGGATGCTTAGATTATATTCTATTGTTTACTTAAGGGCTTGGGCATAAATCAAATATTTTCAAAACACAAACTAAGTATCGAAAAACTGATAAACTTAAACATAAAAGTCTTAAATTGATTACATATTAAAGGATAGGAATACCAATTTGAGTCATAGCCAATGCGAAATCTGAAAAATGTGTTTGAAGATGTAAATAAATAGAATTGGAATCATCACGACCGAGTTTTTGTGAAATGCAATTTACGTTGGATCCACATTGATGTGTTTATAAACAAATCGAGCATGACGTTCAAAACAAATGTGCACACGAGATCCGAGAAGGAAAAGCGTGTCTTTTTTCTAAAAATACAAATAAATCATTTTTAATTACCATTTGCACAATAAATCTGGCTTTAACGAGCGAAGAAAAGGAAGAGGAAATTATGATTTGCACAGTTTTTATGGGACACTTCAAATATATGGCTAGTTTCAATTTATAGTTTGCTTTTGTTCATTAAATAAATAATTTACAACAATTTTACAGAGCTTTGCCCGAAGCCAAATGACACACGCAATTCGCTGTCCAAGAAGTCTCACGTGGAGGACTTCGATGGAGTTCCTGAGCTGTTCAACGCCGTTGCCACTCCGGATGAGGGTGACAGCTTCGGCTATAATTGGAACGTGTTTACGTTTCAAGTGGATTTCGACAAGTACTTGAAAGGTCCCAAGCTGGAGAAGGACGGTCATTACTTCTTGAGTGAGTGTCAAATGATGCAATTGAACACGATATCCCTTTATTGTCACTTTTCCTACTTTCAGGAACCAATGATAAGAACCTGGATGAGGCCATTCAGGAGCGCGACAACATAGTGACCGTGAACTGCACGGTCATATATTTGGATCAGTGCGTATCGTGGAACAAGTGCCGCAACAGCTGCCAAACAACAGGTGCCAGCAGCACGAGGTGAGATATCCATTTCCTGGGATAAAGTAGTATCTTTAATCTAAACCGAATGATATCAAGAAAGGTGTTTAAATATGGAACTCACCTAATCTATTTAGATTTTTAAAGGACCTTTCGATCTCTTTTTATAATCATAGAAACGCTCTTCTTCCTTGCAGATGGTTCCACGACGGATGCTGTGAGTGTGTGGGCTCCACGTGTATCAACTACGGCGTGAATGAGAGTCGCTGTCGAAAGTGCCCGGAGTCCAAGGATTTGGGCGAGGAGTTCGAGGACGCTATGGAGGAGGAGATGCAGGACTTTGGCGACAGCATGGGCCCCTTCGACGGACCCGTAAACAACAACTACTGAGTGCACCAATGCCATCATACAACGAACAGAGCGGAATGCAGAAACACATTTAACAAATTTAGCTACTCAATTCAGTGACATTATTATTATGTATGTATGTATGTAGTACGAAGTAATATTTGTATAGCACTATTATTATTATTTTTATTTACGAAAATCGAATAGGCGCTTTGAATTGTTTTACTTATTAAACCGGCCAAGATATATACACATATATATATAAATATATACAATTTTTTAAACTAAAAGGAACGTTTTTAATCGGCTATCGAATGTGTCCGTTTGCTTGTCTATCGATATCAGCATCGTTCTACGTGCCTCCACAATCAGCTGATGGTTATCGATACCCATGAGTTGCCGTTTACGGCAAAGTAAATTTCGTGTGTTCTTTCGTTAGTTAAATCATTTGCTTTTGTCGGCCGGCACATTAACAAAATAAGCGGGGTGGCCAAAGGAAACTTCGAGCCGGCTACTGGGCATCGATCCCCCACTATCCAAGGAAGATATCTTCTTTTACTGACCTGTCAGATATACGAAACAAAGTTACGTATTCTACGTATTCCGAGAGCAGTTACGTATTCACATTCGAGTTGTGGGGGCTGGCCACTGGAGTAGGGAATGATGTTGAAGGGCCTGCGGCACGTCCGGAGCGTTCTGCTGCAGCGTGGCGGTCAACAGTGGGGTCCGATCCGTGGCGCTGGCGGTAAGCAGGGTGGCACGCCGGGCATCAATCCGGAACTCTCGCTTCTGCAGCTCAGCCGGCGACAGGTGAGTAGATTTGTAGGTGCTCCAGACAGCCCAATAACGCCCATCCTCCCTCCTTGTGCTGGCAGATGAAGCAGCTGCAGGCCGAATACAAGGCAATTGTGGGGGTAATAGCTCGCTCCCTGCAACTAACTCCCCGGGAGGTGCGTTTAATGCATCTGCGCTGCCTAAGTACATCTGGAAAAGAGCCGAAGAAGCCGATGCAGGAAAAGGAGGGAGCCAAAGGTAGGACAACGGATGAGTCTAGCAAACAGAAGCCAGCTGCTACAACTGGCAGCGACGAGAGCAGCAGCAAATCCCCAGAGGAGGAATCGTCCAGCTCTGCTAATCCTTCAGCTAACACCAGCAGTAGCAGTTCCAGCGGTGATTCTGCTGAGGATCCCAACAAGAATAACAATGAAAACGACGAGAAGATGCGATCCGTCCTGACGAAGGCCGTGCTGTGGTTGTTCACCATCTACATGTTTGTGGCCTTCTTCTCCCTGCTCATAACACCGCGCTCCGATAGGCCTGAGGTGACTGCAACCCATTAAGGAGTAGTTCTTCTTTTACTTAACACATCTGCACTTATATCAATTTCAGGGATCCACGCGCTACGTCTCGTGGAACGAGTTCGTTCACCACATGCTGGCTGTGGGCGAGGTGAAGGAGCTCATCATTCGGCCAGACATGGAAATGGTCACCATCATTTTGCATGACGATGCTGTGATCAAGGGCCGGAAGGTCTCCTCCACCATCTTCCACATGGCAGTGGCCGATGCGAACAAGTTCGAGGAGAAGTTGCGCGAGGTGGAGAAGCGACTGGGCATTAAGGACGGTGTGCCGGTGACCTACGATCGACAGACGGACACCACCGGCCGCATCCTAATGCTGCTGCTGGTCTGCGCCCTCCTCATGTCCATTGCTACGCGCATGAAGAGCGTCAAGAGTCCACTGAGCATGGATTCATTCGTAAGTTGCAACGAATAGCTGCTTTTTTGATCCCATATCTCAAACTAAACGAAATTTCAGAATCAAATGGGACGTGCCAAGTTCACGCTGGTGGATCCCTTCGATGGTGGCCGCGGTGTGCTTTTCCGCGATGTAGCTGGCCTCAGCGAGGCCAAGCAAGAAGTGAAGGAGTTTGTCGACTACCTGAAGTCCCCAGAGAAGTACCAGCGACTAGGAGCCAAAGTGCCGCGCGGAGCCTTGCTCCTGGGTCCCCCTGGCTGTGGAAAGACGCTCCTCGCCAAGGCGGTGGCCACCGAGGCCCAGGTGCCGTTCCTCAGCATGAATGGCTCCGAGTTTATCGAAATGATTGGAGGACTGGGAGCCGCCCGAGTGCGTGATCTGTTCCAGGAGGGAAAGAAGCGAGCACCTTGCATCATCTACATCGACGAAATCGATGCCATCGGTCGGCAGCGCTCCGGCACGGAAAGCATGGGTCAGAGCAGCTCCGGCGAGTCGGAGCAGACGCTTAACCAGCTGCTGGTCGAGATGGATGGCATGGCCACCAAGGAGGGTGTCCTCATGTTGGCCAGCACAAACCGGGCCGACATCCTGGACAAGGTGAGTGATTCTAGAAAGGAAGGGAATTGGCCATTAATTCATCCTTCATTCGCTTTCAGGCCCTGCTGAGACCTGGTCGCTTTGATCGTCACATACTCATCGACCTGCCCACATTGCTGGAGCGGAAGGAGATATTCGAGAAGCATTTGTCGTCGGTGAAGCTGGAGTCACCGCCCGACACATACTCGCAGCGGTTGGCTCGCCTAACGCCGGGTTTTTCGGGCGCGGACATTGCCAACGTCTGCAACGAGGCTGCCCTGCATGCGGCGCGGAACACACAGAAGGAGGTGAGCAGCAAGAACCTGGAGTATGCCGTGGAGCGTTTGGTTGGTGCGTATTCAAAATGATCCTAATAATTTAAATACAGAACTTAATATTCACTGATGTTCCAGGTGGCACTGAAAAGCGTTCACATGCGCTGTCATTGGCGGAGCGCAAGGTGATTGCCTACCACGAATCGGGACATGCTCTGGTCGGCTGGATGCTGCCCAATTCAGATATCCTGCTCAAGGTGACCATTGTGCCGCGCACGAGCTTGGCCCTGGGCTTTGCTCAGTACACGCCCAGCGAGCAGCATTTGTATAGCAAGGAGGAGCTCTTCGATAAGATGTGTATGGCATTGGGTGGCCGTGCGGCTGAGAATCTGGTCTTCAATCGTATTACGACGGGCGCACAGAATGACCTGGAGAAGGTGACGAAGATTGCATACTCGCAGATCAAGAAGTTCGGCATGAGCAAGGACCTGGGTCCTATCTATGTGCGTGATGCCGACGAGACTGAAAGCGGCGGTGCGATGGGCAGCGGTGGCAAGAAGCCCTTCTCTCGGGCCATGGAGACCCTCATTGACAATGAGGCGCGTCATGTGGTGGCCAACGCCTATCAAATCACCGAAGGCATACTCACCGCTAACCGTGATAAGCTTGAAAAGGTAAGTCTTCTGTGCCTATTTAGAGAATCGGTTCAGTAAAGCTGAAGGTCTTGTCGGAGTCCATTTACAAAAGTTTGCTGCCCCTTGTGGCGTCCGTTTCGAGTGAAATCAAATTCAAATCGCATCTGGAACTGGTTACATTACTTGGATTTATGTTCCGTTCCTTGTATTTTGGTTGCTTCTATCATTCATCATCTGGTTTAGAAACGGCTATTCCGGTTTATTGATAGTTGATTAACTTTACGTCCATCATCGATCACTGAAAGCAATTCTAACCCTAAACATCTCTCTTTCAGCTGGCTGAGGCTCTGCTGGAGAAGGAGACACTGGACTACGACCAGGTGGTGGAGCTGATCGGGCCACCGCCACACGATATTGGCAAGCGGCAAGTTGACGCCGTGGAGTTTGAGCAATCACTAAAGAACCTGGGCACCGAACCGGACCCAGCCAAAGCCTGAAGCGAAGGTCAGAATCAGTCATAGTCATCAGCCACCGCCACGTGCCGCAGAATCGCAAGTGCCCAAGTCGCTCAGCTTTCCACACCACCCCTGCTTCATGTTCGTTAATTGTAAATAAAGTTGTTTGCCTTATTAAATGATTTCCAAGCGGTGCTTGTTCTCAAATTGCCCCGCTTAAAAGGCGATGCGATACCTAACTAAGGTAAATTTATGACAGATCGGATAATACAGTACAGCTTGGCAAATTAAGAACGAATTAAAACAAGAGTAGGCTTTTCTAATAAATTATTATACCCTTTGCAAGTTATTTTTATGTTATTCAGAAGCTTCTACTTATGTGAAGGAGTCGTTTCTGACCCCATAAATCATATATATTCTTGATCAGCATCAACAGGTGAATCTTTCTAGCCATCTCCAGCAAAAAAATAAAATTTTCAATTTTTGAAAAATAGCAAAGGGGTTACATCGTTAAAATTTTTAAAAATTGTCAAAATTTTAATTTGTTTTAAATTTTAAATTAAGTATGCAGTTTTTTAACATGATAAAAACTAACATAAAAAAGCTTTCCGAAATTTAATTATTGGATTTTTGGCGGAGTTATGAGATTTTTAAATTTTGATTTTTCGACAAAATTGTCATACAAATTATTTTTAAATCTTGATTCAAAGTATGCGAATATTTTAAGCTTAGTTGTGATCAATTTTTGATTCAATCTTATAATTCAATTGCAAACTGTAAGGGTATATAAACATTAGCTTCCCAAATATAATTTCCTTCCTCGTTGGAACTGTCTTAAAAATAGATATACCAATTAATATATGATTTTAGAGTTTCAGAGGATTTACCTGGGAGATATATTCTATGTATATATCTCAATCAGCCATAGCCCCTGTCGATCATCGTCACCAATGTGCCAGGAGAGATCAAGAGTTTAACAACTACTCTCGTCAATGCGTTGATGCTGACCTAGAGCCGGCGGCTGACACGCACTGTCACTTAGTGTCCGACCTGATGGTCACCCACTGGTAGCCGGAACCACTGCCGCCGATTCTCCAGGGGATATCGAAGCGCATCGATGCTTTCTTTGGCAGATCCCAGTTGCGCAAATATCAGGGTCTACCACATTATGTATAATTTTGCCTTAATGGATGCATTTCTAAAGATCAACCAAGATGATAGAACCTCTATATAGTGTAGAGATCTCTTACGAGGGGACAAAAGAAGAGAAACCCGTTTTCCATTGCAACCAAGTCGAAAATGATTTAGTTTTCACTCATATTCGATTTGGATGCGATTTATGTACCAAATGGGGTATTCCGGCAGTATCGGTCACACACATACTCTTTGTTCATTGGGGTAACTTTAAATATATAATGTTCATTATAAAATATTAATAATTAATTGAGGAAATTTATTATAAATACATTATTTAGAAACCTGAATACCTAGCCAAGGGCAGGGATCTCCAAAGATCTTTAAGATGAACTGGATAATTGTTTTAATTATTGAAAATTAATGCAAATGGGTTGCCCGATTTCTTAGATTATAATAATTAGTTTAGTACTTATAGCACTAAAACCCCCCCATAGGTATTTCCAGTTCGATCAATTGTTCCTTAGGTAATTATTTAAATAAAGTTTCAGTCAGTACGATCGGGCTTAGGCGCAATAATCCGATCTGGACCCAGCATCGCTCTTGAACTCGCACCTCCCAGAGGATGCATATATAGGCCCGGCTTTCGGTGGGTCTTGACCAGTTCATCAGCTGTCGTTGCGGGAAACACAGAACACGGATATATTACGGATATCTATATACATATATAAATTTTCGCTGAAAAATGCAGTTGATTGGTGCGTCGGCGGTCAAGTCCCTGGCATGGATCTGTCTCCTATGCCTAGTGCCTATTAGTAAGCAGGCTAGTGGAGGATTCCGTGAGTAGACTCAAGTATACTAAACAAGATTTTGATGAAATGATTTCCTGTAATCAACCGCAGCTGCTCCGCTGAAGTTGTGCAAAGTGGAGGACGAGACCTGCTTCGTGGCCCAGGCACAGGCCTTTCTTAAAGCCTTCAAGCTGGGAATTCCGGAACTACACGTGGCCAGTTTGGAGCCACTCAATTTGGGCACTGTGCGCGTGGAAAGTGGCGGCCACTCGGAGTCGGTGTCATTCAAGCTGTTGTTGGCCCAAGCGAAGCTTTACGACCTGGCCAACAAGGGCGTTGTGAAGAGCCTGAAGGGATTCGTCAAGGACCCGACCTTTGCCAAACCCCTCAAGCTGGTTATGGTGATTGATGTACCCCAGCTGGAGTTGCGTGCTAAGTACGATGTGAATGGCAAGCTCCTCATTCTGCCCATCATCAGCAAGGGCGATGGGAGCCTCAAGATGGATGACGTGCAGGTCAAGTCCCGGATTACGGCCATGCCAGAGAAGCGATCCGATGGACATACTTATCTTACCATCACCGACTACAAGGTGCTCACCAAGATCAAGAGGTTAGTAGCATTAGAATCCGGGTAATCCGTAGAATCCATAGCATATATATCACCATTATCTTCTCAGTGCCAACTTTAACATGTCGAATCTGTTCAATGACAACGTGGAGCTGCGGGAGAGCACTTTGAAGGTGCTTAACCAGGAGTGGAACACCCTGGCCGTCGATATCCAGCCGAAGATCAATGAGGCCACTGCCATCGCCATGAAGTCCATCTTGCAGCAATTGTGGAACAACATACCCTACGATTCGTTCTTCACCAACTAGGTAACACTGTAGTTAATTATACACTAAAGATTGTACGATTCCTGCGATCGATATCTTTAAATAAACAATATATGGCATTTAAATAACAATTAAAACGAGCCAGTATATGAAGATCAAAAGGAGAGCAAGGACGAAGAATCCTGATGGGGAGTAAAAGCGAGGATTTAGGTTTTCAAGGCTAAGAGAAGAAGGACAAGTAACGAGAGTTTCAAATAAATAGTTTCCTTTTTTCTCATTTCTTCCCTTTTCTTGTTTTTTTTATACCCTTGCAGGGTATTATAATTTCAGTCAGAAGTTTGCAACGCAGTGAAGGAGGCACCTCCGACTATATAAAGTATATATATTCTTGATCAGGATCAACAGCCGAGTCGATCTAGCCATGTCCGTCTGTCCGTCTGTCCGTCTGTCCGTCTGTCCGTTTCTACGCAAACTAGTCTCTCAGTTTTGAAGCTATCTGAATGAAACTTTGTAGTTAGCCTTGTATATACTCTCACTCGTATATATGTCGGAACGGGCCGGATCGGACGACTATATCATATAGCTGCCATAGGAATGATCGGAAAATTTTTACAAAGAAAATTTTAACTTTTTCAGTTTTCAATAGAATTGAATCAAATTTGAGATATAGCCATTTTACTATACTCTTCAATTTTGTACAAAATTTTATAAAAATCGGACTACTATATCATATAGCTCCCATAGGAACGATCGAGAAATTAATACAATTAAATTTATACCTTTTTTAGTTTTCAGCTGATTTTCATCAACTTTGAGGTATAGCCATTTTATATAAGTCTTAAATTTTGTGGCAAATTTCATGAAAATCGGACGACTATATCATATAGGTGCCATACAAGCGATCGTTTGATGTGGAGGAAAAATGCAAATCAGTGAATGTAAAACTGCAAATATAATATGTATAGGTGAATGAAATGAAAGCAGGTATTACTTCATTGTTTTTTAACACAAATATATATAATTTATATTGTATTGATTCCTATTCATAGAAGTTCTATCTGCAAGGGTATATAAACTTCGGCGTGCCGAAGTTAGCTTCCTTTCTTGTTAAATATACAGTATATTAAAAACGAGAAAGGAAACCAACTTCGGGAAGCCAATCCAATCCAATCCAACCAATGATATTCTAATAAGTATAATAAAATTGTATTATTATTAGTGCTAGTAGTTAGAAATCAACAAGTATCCAATTTAATAACAATCATTTTAAAGGAATCTTTAAGATTTATCCAAGTTCGATTGTTGTTATTTATAATCATGTTTTTGAACAACGATTTTTAGGTTCGGATATTTCATATTTATAATCAATATACAAAACAAAAGATATAAAGACTCTATATGAAGGATCTTTCGAAAGTTGATTAGCTCTGAAAGAAATAGAATACAAGGAATCTGTATGAAAGTATCTTTGAAGTCAATCAGCTCTTAATCAGCTCTTAATTATAGACCTAGGTATGATCCCTCCGATTGTATCTATATAAATATATATATATGATATACTTGTCATGGTTAAGACTTACCAAAATTGAAGACACGTCATTGTTTACTTCCATCCGGTGTAGAGCATCTTCTTGTTTATCCAGATGCATTATATTGGGTGCAGGTGGGCGTCAAAAGCCAATCACTATCACTATCACTTAAGGACACGTCATTGTTTACTTCCATCCGGTGTAGAGCTTCTTCTTGTTTATCCAGATGCATTGCACTATCACTCCCACTATCACCATAGATGTTACCAGCAGCCACTCCGCGCACCAAATGAGGCCCGAGGGCCGGTTGCGCCCTGTATTTATAGTGTCCGAGCAGAGAGAGCAGAGAATGTGTGAGCGAGAGAGTAAGGGCTATCTCTAGAGAAAGGCAGAGAAAGAGTTAGAGAGTAAGGGCTGCCTGATGCACTGCACCTATCAAATATCAATATATTTATATATATTATTAGTAATATTTCAAGTTAATTAAACCCATAATAACTATAAGAAAGGGTATAGAGAAGCCTCAGCCAAAAAACCAAGCTTCTGACTCAAATTATAACACACTGCAAGGGTATAAATATATTTAATAAATTAGTTGAAGCTATTTCATTCGATTTTATTATTTTGTGGCTCAATATAGAAATAAATAAATTAAGACACAGTCGCATTAAAACTGAAATGGATTCTCAAACGGTTTAGATAGTAGTCCTTGAAGATGCACAATTATATTGCATTGTTTTCACTTCCTATTGCTTTCTGGTCTTAATCCGCCGCTGGGTGGGTGGCTATTGTGTGTGGTTATCCTTCGAGATCATCTGGCTTAGAACTATGCTTGGAGCTGCCCCTCGTTGTTTTCCTCATTCGTTGTGTGGCTCAGATTCAGACTTAGATTAGGGAATGTACTTCCGGATCATCCGAAGAACTAAGTAGGAGGCGGAGGAGGAGGAGTGGCAATAAGTTGGGGGTTTCTTTGGGTAACAAGGTCTACCTACACATGGCCCAGATCCCTGCGGGTCTTCGGTAGCTGCTGCTGCTGTGGTTGGCTTCGTCCTAGGGATCGACGTCGGTCACGTCGGTAACCCGATTGTGTACGTCGGTCAGCAGCACCTGCGGGTTTAGCTACCCATCCCCGTGCTGCGTCTGGTCCTCCTCCGGATGCTCCAAGATCTTGCTGTCCGATGTATTGATACTCTATAAGATGTAAAATGATCGATTTACGATTAGTACAGCTTGAAGACCTTTCACTTGCAGGACCATCGATTGTAAATAAATGGAAATTCAAGGCAACTCTCTCATATTTAACAAGTCAGTCAATTAACCTGAGTAAATACCTTCAGCTTACGGTGCTTGGCATCCTTGTCATTGTCCGGCGGACTCTCTGATCCATCTGTGGTCTTGATGAACGACGAGTAGAACGAGGAGAAGCTGGATCCATCCATGTCATCGCTGTTACCATTGCTGTCTGTGTACTTCTGGAAAATATAAGATATTCGGATGAAATCAAGTGATCTCTGAACCCTAAGCCCGGCACCCCGTCTTACCTTCGTATTGGTGGGATTACTGCTGCAGGGCGGGTCTGAGGTGTAGTCACCCATCACGGAGGCAATGGGCGAGGAGTCCGGCACCTCCTTCTTGGAGGAGTCCGAGGGAGCCACATTGGAGCCCGGCTCTGCCTTCACGGAGGTTGCCTGCGAGGAGGGCCTCTGGAGTTGGGCGGGAGTCACCGAGTGGAAGGCACCCGGTACCTTGGTCGTCGTCGCTGGTGGGGCAACCATCACCTGAGGTGGCTGTAGGAAACAAAAATAGTTAGGAGACGGAAATTAAGCTTCTTGGGATTTCTCAAACTCACCGTGTACACCGTTTTGTTGTAGGATGACTGTGCTCCGCATGGCTGGTCCGGCACCTGCATGGCATTGGCCATTCCTGGAAATGGCATGGGTTGGTACATCATTGCCGTGGCTGCCGCTGCCGCTGGATGTGTGTAGAAGAGCGATGGATGCGGATACATCACTCCGGCCATGTACTGGAGTGGCATGGCTTGTGCCGCCGCCGCTGCCGCCGCTGCTGCTGCCTGCTGTGAGGTTGTCGGCTGCTCTGGATTCTTGAGGGGATGTGAATGGGACAGCTGGTGCTTATGGGAGCGTGGCGAAGGACTGGGGCTGGGACTAGTGGGCGCCAGAGAGGCAGGGATGTAGTAGAAGGTGGGGAAGAGGCCGGCGGACGAGAAGCTGCTCTGGGCCATGGCCGTGTGCGTGGAATGGACGGGTGTGGTGATGCCAACGGAGAAGGGTGGCCACAGGTTTATGTTCTGGGTGCACTGAGGATATGAGGAGGGTACCGGTGTGGTGCTACCCACAGAGGAAGTTCCAATTCCGGTTCCTGTTCCTCCTCCTCCTGTTGCTGCTCCTCCTGTTCCTGTTCCTGTTCCTCCTCCTGCTCCTCCGCCTGTACCTCCTGTAATTCCCGATCCTCCGGGTGTTCCTGCTCCTGGTGTACTTGTCGGCGTGCCACCGCCAACCGTTCCTCCTCCGCCCGCCACACCAGCTCCGCCGGATCCCACGCCACCGGTTCCGCCGCCTCCTGTCGTTCCCTTAGAGACATCACCAGTGCCACCGCTAGCTCCTCCACCACCGCCTCCGCCTCCACCTCCTCCGCCACCGCCTCCCGTCAGTGTCAACTGCTGCTTGGGCTTGTTGGCCTCACCCTCCCAGGAATGGGATCCACCCCGCTTGATGCCATGACCCGGGCCACTGTACTCCAGCATCTTGAGGGTGTCGTTGGCCGAGGACTTCTTGCCCTTGTCTCCAGTTCGTCCGCGGGACTCACGATGCTTCTTCAGCATAAACTTCTCCATTTCGTCATTGTGCTTGTTCAGCAGCGATTCGGTGAGGGTCACTGGTGGTGTGCTGGACGAGGAGTTGTTCCCGGTGGTGGTAGTTGTGGTGGTGCCCGTTCCAGTGCCCGTGCCGGTACCACTTCCGCTTCCACTGCCTGCCGTATGGGTATCCGTACCCTTGCCAGTGCCCGTTCCGTTGGCTGTTCCAGTGGCAGTGCCACTTGCCGTTCCTGTGGCTGTGCCACTCGCGGTTCCAGTACCTGTGCCCGTGCCTGTGCCTGTTCCCGTGCCCGTTCCGGTGCCAGTTCCAGTACCTGTGCCCGTTCCCGTTCCGGTGCCTGTGCCGGTGCCAGTGCCACCTGTGCCGCCATTGCTGGTATTAGTCACACTGCTCATGTGGACATTGCTGCCGGTGGTGAAGTGGCCGGAGGAGCCGCTGCCGCCGCTGCCCTCGAAACCGGAACCGAAGCCCTGAACGGGACTGAGGGCGCAACGCGCATCCTCGCCCCGGCTCACGCAGGTGCCGCCACGTGACTCACGGGGCTCCCGTGACTCCGCCGGCTCCGTCTTGGGAGGATCGGGGTCCACGGGTGCCGTGATCGGCTTGCTGTTGAAGAAACGCAGCAGGTTCTCGTTATAGTTGAGCTGGTTGTAGCTGGGCGGCGTCTCGGTGGAACTCTTACTGTCATAGTAGTCGTGGTGCGGCGAGATCTCGCCCAGCATCACACTGTCCCGCTCGGACACGGTCAGCTCGTTCTCGTGCGGCAGCTCCAGCTTGAGATCCGCCCGCGACACCTCGTCCATCAGCGTCTCCATGAAGCTGGCCAGGGCCTGGCAGCGACGTGACACCTCCTGCTTGACCGTATCCGAGGGCCGTGACACTGTCTCCGCCAGCAGTTTGACGATGTCCTCCTTGATCCTTGTATTCCGGCCCATGGCCTCCTCGGAGATCTTTAGCTTGCAGGTGGGCGCCGCCTCGAATACATCGCACTGCTTGGGACCTGGACAATTGGATATATAGATAGCATAGTTATATCAGATGCAGCTTCCGATGAACTCACCCTGAAAGACGCGATGGTGACCCACCACAAACTCCAGCTTGCGGGACCAAGGATTCACGAAGCTAGTCCATTCCGTCTCCAGGAGGACATAGCAACCATTCTGGATGAGAAACCGGTATGGCTTACTGCAGAAGGAGGCACCGGCTGTCTGACCCTTCTTCATCACCGTCTCATACGTCTCCTTCATGGCGGCGAGATCCTCATGATGGTAAAAGTCCATAATGCTGCGTCCTGTGAGATCCTGCGGCAGATAGCCCAAGGCACTGACTGCAGCACTATCCACATGCGAAATGATGCCCGTGGCCGTGTGCTTGATGGCAAACTTGGGGCTCTTCTGGGAGAGCACCTCATCGGGAACTGTGGGATAGGAAGGAAGATGAGTTAAAATAACCTCAATAGGTCACACCGACTCACCTTTGTAACTACTCTTGATGGGCGTGGCGCAGATGACGAGCAGCATGTTGGTGCCATTGGACACCAGGTAGTTGTCCGGTCGAGCCTCCTCGGGTGCCTCCCTGAAGGTGAGTCCCAGGCGGAAGGGCTCGTAACTGACGGAGCGACCGATGACACCGAAGCCACCGGACTTGAGGCCTCGATAGCGACGCAGCATCACACAGAAGGTGCTCCTGGCATCCTTGGGCATGCTGCCCCGCGACTCGGCAATGGGTATCCCAGTGGTTATCTGACTGGCGAATGTGGCACGGTCCTTGATGTGCACGAAATCGATGAAGGATCGACCCAGCCACATGTCCCGCGGAAAGCCCAGGACATCCGTGATGCTGGGCGTGGTATACAAAACGATGCCATCGTGCATGGAGATCACACAGCAGAAGCTATCCTCCTTGACGCGTTCCACACGTACTCCGGGTGCTCCTGACCCGCCTCCACCGCCGCCAAGTCCGGCCACGGATTCCAGCTTGCCTGGAGCCGACTCCCACGTCTTCTCGGATTTGCCACCAATGCCGCTGTCCACACAGGACACGCTCACATGGCAGGGCAACGAAGGAGGCAGAGTGGTCACCGACAACGGGGATGGTATGGGAAAGGTTTGGGTGGCCTCTGACTTGGCCACACCAGCTCGCTGCTCTGCCTCCGATTCCTCAGTGCCGGACTCCTGCTGCTGTTGCTCCTCCTCCTCCTCGGCATCGGGACGATTGCAGTCCTCATTATCCTGCAACTCCTGCAGATTCTGTTGGTCAACACCGTTGGCATCGCCAACGCTGCTTTGGTTCTGCCGTGGCTCCTCTGTCCTGTCCTCCCTCTCCCTGTCCAGTGTGGTACTGGGATGTGGATGTGTCTGGGTCTGGACTTGACTCTGGCCAGCTCCCTTGTTCTTCTTCTTTTTGCGTGACTTATCCTTGTTCCGCTTGATGATCATGTCACTGCTGCTGGCCTGAGTTGAGGGTTTGCCGCCATAGCCGCTGCTCCCGGAGGAGTGGCTGCCACTTAACCGGGACTTGGAGCTGCCACTAAAAGGGGAGAGGGATTAGGGATTAATAATGACAATAAATACTCTAGGAAATTCTCCTGTTATCAGATTTATCTCTTTGGGAAATTGCGCTTTTGAGAATTGCTGCTTTGGCAATTTTCCCAAGAGGTACTACAGTATCTCAGCTTATAGTATCTGAATCTTATAAAGATTGTATGACATACCTGCGCTGTGACTGACTGTTGCTGCAACTGTTTGAGTAGGCCGAATCGGACACCTTGGTGTTGTGTGTGGACTCTGTGGACTCACCGCCCTCCATTGTGTTTGAGTTCTCCAGTTTTTCGATTTTAAATGTGCAGAGAGAGTAATCTGCCAAAGAAAATATATTTAAAACTAACTAGGAAAACCATCAAATATATACAAATATATCTACTATAAACTAGAAATCTTTTTGAGCAGCCTTCAGAAGAGTAAACATTCCTTAAATTTGATTCACTTTCCACTACTTTGCTTGCTTGTTTTTCATTGTACTTTATTTATTTATTTAAATCCTAACGAACGTGAATCAATTTTATTGAGTATTTCACAACTTCGGTCACTGCAAGTGACGAAATAAAGTCACGAAATCTGTTGCCGCATTTCTATTGCATTTCACAGGCAGAGCTTGCCAGCTTCTTGAATTAATTTACTTTCAATTCCCATTTCTTGTTTAATTTAAAAACAAACTACTAGTTTGGTGATTGAATTTCCCTTTTAAATCTCAAACTTTCAACAAAAGGTTTCCCTAAGGTTTCAACAAAACAAAACAAAATAGTCGTAAGCAATTTGCACCTTAATTAACACTACACTAGTGGCATAATGTGGCCTGTGTCAAGGGGGAAAAAGTAAAGTAGAACTTGCCTAGGGTGAACTTTTACTTTGTTTTTAATAATATATAATATTATTACTCTGAAATAAGTAGTGTTAATATTTCTTTACTAATTCTCCTTGAAATAACTATTATTTTGTTTAGATATATTTGTGTTCATCTTAGGCCGATTTTACTGTGGCTCGAGTGGGTGTGCACTACGATGCATTCACGTGCAGCTGCAGGCGCTGTCAGTTGTTGCTCCCTCTCTCCAACGGATGCCGTTATGCAGGCAGCAAAGCATGCACAGATACGGATACAGTCCACAGATACAAAGATACATAGATACACCTCTTTACTATTAGCGTCAGTTTATAATTTTTCAAATAGTTATTGGTTTTCTATTTAAAACACTGTTTGACCTTCTTTATAATTCAAACTAAAATATAGTTTCAATTATTCAAAAACTATTCACTCGTTAATTATCACTTGATGCAAGACTTTTGCAGTCCAGTGTTCTCTTTGTAGCGACTTTTGTATAAATATGCTGACACTGACCAGAGTATTTCTGATGTCTTTTGTTTGCCAGGCAAGCATCTCATATTTCGTTGCCCAAATAATTACGAATATGTCATAAGAAGTCGAGACGGTGATTATATAACCCTCACACAAATCACACACAAAAAAGAACAACAAAAATAATAAAAAAGAAAGGTAAAATTACATTATTATTACATAATATTCTGATAGATATTCATATTAAAGAATCGATTCAAGGCAAGAGAAGGAAGCCCTCGATTAAATTGAAAAATAAATGGAAAATGGGAAACAGGAGAAGCAAATTAACTGATATTATCAAAAGATAATAAATGTTAAAATAATTTTTTCTTTCCTGGAAATATTAATACTTTTATAATAAATCAAAACGAGGCTCAAAGATATGGAAAGCTTCTATACAAACTCTCACTAATTGTAATTAATTACAAATATAATATTCTAAATTTATATTCCCCTTTACTTGAGTTAGAATAAAAGCATTATTTATATTCTTCATTATATGTATATGAATCACTCTCCCCTTTTAGATTAAAATATCAAACTATTTGCAATTAAGCCTCTAAAAATAGATAGCAACCAATCAAGCCACAATGCAAGTATCGTTTGTATAATCTCCCTTTGGGGAAAAAAGAATCCAATTATCCAACGCCATACGTCAGAGGACGAAAGGAACATCCCGGCTGAAGGATTGGGCTGCAGGATTACATATGGTCGTGCGTCACGACAACGGCGCTGTTAGATAATGGCAGCGCAGGATTCAACACACAGGACACACACAGAATGTCGCACAGATGGTGGTTAAAACACAGTCACATCGTAGACAAAGTCATAACTGCTGCCATTTGTGGTCTATTTGTGGCATCGATTGCAGGAGTGAACAAAGGCAGATGATAGTGAATGTAGGGAAAGAGACCTACTTAAATAATTCTTTAATGGATTTATTTCTGGGTAAATTTCTATCTAAACATATTTAAAGAAACGAAATGTGACGTGAATACTGATGATTTGTTACCAGATTTAATTCGAAACTTGTAAGCCTTTTACGAGGACTTTATTATACATTCATTATAATTATATATATTATATATTCATAAATATAAATATAATATACTCAGAATTATATATATTGTTTATTCAGAAGCATATAATTAAGCATTGAGTGAAAAAACGTTAAGCAAAAGACAAGCTTAAGGCAAAAATTTCCATATTACGTATACGTATTTTCGTAAAAGAATAAATATAAATAAAAACTTGTCAAGTTGAGACAATGATTGAATAAATAGATAACTAAACAAATAATTAGAAAAATGTGTCAACAAATTGAGTGTGGTTTTTTAAAAATACAAATTTTATAAAAACCTCACCGGTACCACAGGTCGTATGAGTAATATTACTAATAACTACGCTAAGGCTCAATGAAAATGAAACATTTGAAGATAAATCTAATTAGAACTTGTAATCTTGTGGTTTTTAGTTATATTTAAAATTATATATATTTTTTTTATTATATTTGGTAGTTTATTTAAGTAAATGGGACTAGGAGTATAACGTATACGCAATTTCGTTCAACTTGTCACGTTAAAAGAATGATAGAATAAATAAATAACTAAAAATTAAATACAAAAAAGTGTAAGGAAAATGGGTGTGGTTTTCTATAAATACAAATTCTATGAAAAACCCCACTGGCACCACAGGTCGTATGAGTAATTTTACTAAAAACTGCGCTAAAGCTCAATGAAAATGAAACATTTGAAGAAAAATCTAATTATAACTTGTAATCTTGTGGTTTTTAGTTATAATTAATATTATATATATTTTTTTTTATTATATTTGGTATTTTATTTAAGCCATTTACTTATACTAGGAGTATAACGTATACGCAAATTCGTTAAAGAATAAATATAAGTAAAAACTTGTCACGTTAAAAGAATGATAGAATAAATAAATAACTAAAAAAATAAATACAAAACAGTGTAAGGAAAATGGGTGTGGTTTTCTATAAATACGAATTCTATGAAAAACCCCACTGGCACCACAGGTCGTATGAGTAATTTTACTAAAAACTGCGCTAAAGCTCAATGAAAATGAAAGATTTAAAGCGAAAACTTATTATAACTTGTAATATTATGTTTTTTACTGATATTTAATAGTTTTTTGGTAGTTTATTTAAGTAAATGGGGCTAAAATGTAGCGTTTTTAAAGAAATGAACTCATAGTGTATAACTAAGACCAAAAATTGTTGTCTGAGGTCAGAAATTTAAACAAATCTCGCTTTATTATTGAATCAACAATAAGTTAATCCTCATTGGGTTGCATATTCCTTTAAAATACAGTCGTTATAGGACACCCATACATCCCGAGTCCTGCAGGGACCACGCTACGTATGCGTAATATTCGTTTAACAAGCTGTAATTTGGTGTAATTCAGTCGCAATCGTTGAGAATTTAACAAGGGTCAGGTATGCCGAGCAGAGCTTTTGTTTACGCTGCGATTACTTATGGCTGTTGTTTTTTTGTGCAACGTGCACGGTGCGATACTGATATTTGTTTTTTGCCAATTCCAATGCCCATATTCCTATGCCGACGACAGCGACGACTATTCCCGCCGATTGTTGGCCTCTCGCTCTGGCGACCGGCCCGGCACTTATTAATAAACACTATATACACTCGTTACGAGGAACGGACGACGTGGGCTTTATGTAAGTTGCAAGGCCCCAAAGAGTTGTTGTTGTTTGCTTTTTGCAATATGATAATAGGCAACGCGACGCGAAACGCCGCTTTCGCTCTCTTATTCTGATTCTCCTCTCATTTTATTGCAACAACGTGACAATTGCACTCACTGGGCACACTTACATGCTCTCTCCCTCTCTCTCGCTGGGCACTCTTGAGTGCTTATAGATTCAGATATATCCGGGAAATTAGGTATTACGATATCTGAGATATCTAGGGATAGAGTTCACTGCACGCCCTTCTTGGTAATATTTAAGGGTAATGGTTAGTGCTCACTTTCTGTGGCACCAAAAGAAATAAATATAAAATAATTGTATGTGTCTCTGTGGAGGTCGCTATTTCGATTTAATTCGATATTTATTTGTTCGCTGTTCGACTTTGACAACGAGCGCGCTTCACGACCGTCTTGATGGAAATTCGCACGAATACTGAGTGTGTGTTAGGAAGCTCCACAGGTTTTCCCACAAAAACAAAACTGCAGCTCGCAGCTCGCAGTTCATTCTCATTCTCATTCTCATATTTTTCATTCTCATTCACTCGAAGCTCTCCAGCTTGGTGAGCAGGGGGGTTTCGGTGAGCCGGGATTCGTAGCTTATCGGCTGACATAGTTTACCGTAGAGCTCTGGGGCCTTAACCCTTGGCAGGGTTCTAATGGACAAAAATATGGCGAAAATTATGCAAAGCATGAACTCAAATTAAGAGTTAGAATTAGGGGTTAAGGAATTGTTTTTTTAAATTAAATTTTTTTAAAAACATATTTCTAATTAATAAATATTTCGAATTTTAAGAACCAGTGCTATACGAGCATTTTCTCTCTTTAAAATTTCTACTTAATGTGCTGAAAGCTTTAAATAAGACTTGTAAAAGCTGTTATATATTATTTCGTTTTAAGTACTATATTATTTACTATTTGATTAATTGTTGAAATTATTCCTGACACTTTATATACAGAATATCCAGGATATTATTCTCCAGAATATTAAATATTATATTAAAAAAAAAAGTATGCAAACCCAGCTATAATCTCATCTAGAAAACCAACTAAGTTATCATAACATTTCCCATTTATATATCAAACAAACCACCGGACATGGCTAAATCGATTCGGCTGGTAATGGAGATCAAAACCAAGCTTCTTTCCCATAAAAACGTGCAACGAAAATAAGGAGCAGTGCATAAGACCCATGGCCACAGACTTGGGGTTAAGCCAGACCAGGTGGCGGCCACCTGTATGCCTTCGGAGAGGGCAGAGATGGGAACTTGTGTGGCCGCCCGGTGGGTGGTGTCTGGGCGAAATGGCGGAGGGTGGCGGGGGGTGGCTGTGGCAGCACGTTGACTCTTTGCCTTCGCACGCAGTCCGTGTGCTGGCTGTGCGTATGTGTGTGTGCCAGTGGGCATAGTACACTCTAAGAAACTAGATGTGATTGTCATGAATATATGGGAGATTATTAAATTAGGAACAAATTTAAGCAAACAAAAAATTGTTTAAAAGCATAGAAAAGATAAATTCTTGCTCGTCATAAGAAAATCGAATTTAAACTCGCTGTAAACCTAAAATCTTTATGTTTTTATAGGTTAGTATTATTTATTACATTGAAAGAAATCGGTTTGTTGTAACCGTATTGTTCTCAATATAGATTTCTGTGAAAAACAAGTTACACTTTCTTGCCGAGTGTAGTGCGGGGGGTGGCTGTGCCGGTTAAGTCACGCATGGAGCCACGTGAGCGGAGGCTTTTCATTGCCTATACGGCCTTTTGTGGCAGTTCTCGCATACTCGGAATTTGCTTTCCCTTGTCGCATTTTCGCCTAGCCGCATTTCGCACAATGACTTTTGCATATAGGCAATGGCGGCATAACGGTATTAGTCACTCGTCAGCTCTCGGCTCCCGCTGCAGTATTAGTAACTCTTGCTCATGGTCTCGGTCTCTGGCTCTCTCGCTCAGTTTCCGGCTCTTGGTTGTGAGTGGCGCCAAGCTTTCCCGTCATCGCCCCCGTACCCCACCCCCACCGGGCCGCCGCCCCCCTGCGATGTATTTGAATGGAAGCTCTGGCACAGATGCGCGAATTCAATTGCAGATTCGACTTGTGCTACGGATGTGGCTGGCGGCACGTACTAAATGCCAATGACAATTCATTTTCAGACAGCTGATATTCCGCCCGCTGCCACAGACCAGCTGGTTATCGATTGCTTTAACGGGTATTTTCAAATGGCGGATGGCAAGCGAGCATTCTGTGACTCCCAGATGGCGCCACTGCACTGGGGGCGGCCATTATTTCCGGTATTAACACTTTTTTTCTTTGAGGGGACATTAATGACCTTTGAAATGGAGTACATCTAGCCTGCACAGTGTACTTTATTGTATTGTATTGAATTGTATGCATTAATCTCAATTTGGAAAGCCTTTTTACTATGTTGACTTTTATAAGGCGACTAATAAATATTAATTTAAATATTAACACATATCAGGCTTTAATATTGAAAATATGAACAATTTAAAGAATTTTCGACAATTTTAATAATGTTATCTCTTATCAAATGTTAAAACAAGTTCAGTTAAATTTGCTGTCGAATTTTATTTTCAATGTTTTATTTGTTATTGATTAAGATTTTTATTGCACATCAAAATACAAATGGACTTTGGAATTATTGGCTTCTTGGCCTTCGTAAACCAACAATAAAACCTAAAATATGTTTATTTTAGATATATAAGAACGATCATTTTATATGCTAATTTTTTAAATAAATAAAAGTTTTTCTAATATCATAACTGAACCAAAAATGCATTAATTTCAATTCGGATAACTTTTCTGTGCTACTTTTTAATAGATAAATAAACCTGCATATTTAGTTTATAGATTTAAAAAATTAAAATTTTTGTCAATTTTTTTTTGACAATTTCAATGATGTAACCCCTTATAAAATTGTGAAAATTTGAACAATTTTTGAAAATGTATTTTTTCTGCCAGAGGTGGCTAGATCGATTCTGCTGTTTATGCTGATCAAGAATATATATAGTTTATAGGGTCGGAAACGGCTTCTTCAGTGCGTGGCAAGCTTCTGACTGAAATTATAATACCCTTACAAGGAGTGTAATAATGTAGCATAAGTTGGTGCGAAAATCAATTTGAAATTATCGAAAGAATAAGAAATCAATATCTTTAAACAATATAAAATTAAATTACACTTTTAACTTTGTTATACATTTGTAGGTATCCCTAAAACAAATTGCTGAATCACTTTAAATTATAATTAAGTAATGGTATCCATGGCAATAAAAATATTAATGGTTAAATAAATGCATAGCTAGCACAGATCAAATTAGACCACGGCCTGATCTTTCCTTAAACATCTACATATATAAATAATATAATAGTCATGGTTAAGACTTACCCCAGTAAAGGCCACGTCATTGTTTACTTCCTTCCTTCAATTAGGGCAGGCATCGAAGATCACTTCCTGTTTATCCAGTTGTATTCCATTGGCCACGTCATTGTTTTGATCACTGCCACTATTACCACCGATGTTAACGCTAGGTACCCCTAGGACTGACTGAGCTCGCGGCGCACAAAGTGCCTCTATTTATACTTCCCGGCGCAAGATAACAGAGAATGTGAGAGCGGGAGAGTAAGAGTTAGGCAGAGAAACTTACAGAGAAAGAGTTAACATAGCTCTGTAAATGTACAGTGGGAGTTGGACATTCCGAATAACATAGTGATCGTGAGCGAGAGCGAGAGAGGGAGGGCTGTTAATGCTAATGTTATTAATGTTATTCCTTATATACAGAGAAAGAGTTAACATAGCTCTGCAGATGTACAGTGGGAGCTGGACATTTCGAATAACATAGTGCTCGAGAGCGGGAGAGGGAGGGCTGTTAATGCTAATGTTAAGAAATTTTCTGTTAGTTGCAAGCTCCTGACTAAATTTATAATAATTCTCTAATTCTCTGCAAGGTTATAAATAATAAAGTTTCGATTTTAAGTTTATCACGCCCAACTATTGCTTCCTTGTCTTAATGTAAATAATTTCCCTTATTATTCCTTTTTCTAAGGTAAAATCTTTATAAACAAATATCTATATGCCGAGCGGAGTGTTTTTTAATCCCTAATATAGAATATAATATTTATTTAGGAAACCTTCAACCCCTCCTTAAGGATTCCTCCCCATCCTGGGGGCAGCTCATTCTTTATCAACTCTTAGTATCACCCTCTGCGGTGGCTGTGGAGTAATTGAATTTTATTAATTGGCGGCTTTACCGTCGTCGAGTGGGTGTGAAAATCCATTTGGCCAGGGTCACGTGTGAGTGTTTGCCAAAGTTGAGTCCTTATCTCCGGCGGCCACACACGTGCCACCCGCCAGGCAGTCGTCCGGCAAAGGACTCGACGCCTGCCGGGAAAGTGATAAAGCGCCTTCGAATTAGCCACCAAACTGGTGCTAATTTGATTTTGATGCTACCGCGGCCACTGTTGACTTTTCCTTCACCAATTCCGCTGACTTTTGAACTATTTTGATCCGAAATGATATTATTTGAATGCCTCTAATCGGATTCCGGGGGGTGATTTTCTGCCCAGGGAGTGTGACTTTCACTGAGATTGGGATTAGGCCAGAGTTCCCAGGCAAAGACCAACCCTCTGGCCAGGACCTGCTCATGAATACGGATTGTGATCTAAAATGGAGGGGGATCAGGATCAGGTGGGTTGTAAAAGAAAGGAGGAGGCCACACCTTCACAAAGTCAAAGAGTCACTACCAGACAATCAAGGAGTTAACTTCTTAGATTCTTTAGTATTTATAAAATTTGAATTATTAATTATTAATTATTAAGCTAGCAAAAAAACCAAAACAAATTCTTTAAAAATAATGTTTATAGAATATGCCATAAAAGATAAACAAAATAAAATTATAAAAGAAACAATAAAATATTAATTTTGAGGAGGCAAGTTGGAACTTGAGACCCAAGACGCACTATTTAAATTTTGAGATAATACACCTTCCCATTAATTTATAATTAAAACTCTCTTAATAAACGTTCACTTAGGATTTAAATTAAATAAAAATTTAAATAGAAATGAAAAAGGATTTATTGTTGTATACAAAACTGACCACTTACCTCTCCAATGTTTATCTAGATTCAAAAATTATATCTGAGGAGCAGCCTGCTGAATCCCTTAGAATTCGACATCTAAGCTTCTGCTTTTGTCTGATAGCAATAATTGTTTCCGTGTTTAAAAATATTTTATATTGTTTGAAAGGCAGGAAAAATCTTTTGGGAAATAGAAAACATCCCTCAAAATCCATTGACTTGGCTCCGCCTCCTAGCGCCTGCGCCCTGAGTGTCCTTTGCTCCTGCAGAACTCTGCACCTATTTTCACTTCCTGCCAAAGGATAATTATCTAATTGATTATGAGTTTAAAGCGGCGTGGAAAAAATCCGCGAAAAGGCAAATTTCCGTGAAACTTGAAAAGCGGGAAAAGGCGTTGAAATTTTCACGCTTAATGGAAAAGTTTTGCCGGACCTTAATCCTGGGTTAAAGTGTGCAGACTTTGCCTTAAGATTACAATCTTTGAATGGTAGAAAAAAAAACAAAGATAGTCAGGAACTTCCTTTAATTGAAAAAGGATTAAATTTGATTAAACAAGGGAGATGGAAAAATATTAGAAAGTTTTAAAAATATATTATAAAGGTGCACTTAAAATTGTATATTTTTTATAAATCCTGATCATATAAGATTCATACAATTTATATAAATAAATATTTGTGATAAAAGAATCTCATTTTAAATGGTTTGCCAATAAATTAAGGAGCTCTAAAGACTTATAACTCTGAATTTTTTTTATCAATTTTAAAGTAAATTATAAAGTAAACTTAGACATTTATTTAAAGCTGAAATATGCCCGATTTATAAAGATACAGGGTGCCAAATCACTCTATCTCCCTATCCCGCCGGCACCTTTTAACCCATATGCAACATACCTCACATCGCCATCGTTAAAGTCCAATTCCAAGCCTCCGCCCCTTTGTGTGTATCCCTTGTCCAAGGGGTTGGTATGCCATGGTCCTTGGTCCCGCCTTCTTCCATATCGCCGGGGGTTGAACAGAATCAGTGAATCTACCAACTCAGAGCTCTGCTGCTCACTTTGTCGCAGTCCTTCGAGGGCAACACACACTCGCATCCTGACCAGCAGCAGGAGCAGCATTGCCAAGAGATGGCCTGGCTTCCCAGCAGCTCCAATGGAGCAGACAATGCGGATGAGCGGAGCACAACCTCCAGTGGATCATCCGGTCACAGCAGCGGGCGTCGCGACGAGGCCAACAGTCCACCGCGTTCCGGAAACGGAAATGGAGCCACAGTTAGGGATTCGGGACGAACAGCTCCGCCGGCCCTGTTGCGTCATGCCACGCCCCATCTGCAGCCCAAGACGGAGTCCGTCTCAGATGGCGATGGAGATGGTGATGCAGAGCTCTCCGACTTTTCGCTGAACGACACCGAGGAGGATGAGGAGGATCTTCGCGACTATATTGTACTTAATGGCAATCAGGCGGATGGTAAGGATTAAGGATTAAGGACTCTATCTTAAGGAGTGTGTGGGTTTCTTTTAACGAACTGAAATCAATTAAGATTGGATACAACAGTAGGGTAGGAGATCGAAGATGAGCTGATGCACAGATCTACAGATCAAACAATGAGTAACAAGAAAGGAGGCTAACAATAATTAAACCTAAACTAGGTTTATATATTAAATCGATATTTTTATACGCTAGTTTTATAGGGAAATCAAAGTTTTTCAAATATCATAACTAAGCCAAAAATGCATTCATTTCAATTCGGATAACTTTTCTGTGCTACTTTTTAATAGATAAATAAACCTGCATATTTAGTTTCCAGATTTAAAAAATTTAAATTTTTGTCAATTTTTTTTTTGACAATTTTAACGATGTAACCCCTTATGAAATTTTGAAAATTTAAAAAATTTTTGAAAATTTATTTTTTCTGCCAGAGGTGGCTAGATTGACTCAGTTTTTATGCTGATCAAGAATATATATAATTTATAGGGTCGGAAACGACTCCTTCACTGCGTTGGAAACTCCTGACTAAAATTATAATACCCTTACAATGGTATAATAATGAAACATAAGTTGGTGCCAAAATCAGTTTTGAAGTTATCGAAAGAATAAGAAATCAATATCTTTAAACAATATAGAATTAAATTACACTTTAAACTTTGTTATACATTTGTAGGTTTCCCTAAAACAAATTGCTGAATCACTTTTAATAATAATTAAGTAATGGTATCCATGGCAATAAAAATATTAATGGTCAAATAAATGCATAACTAGCACAGATAAAATTAGACCACGACCTGATCTTTCCTTAAGCATCTACATATATAAATAATATAATAGTCATGGTTAAGACTTACCCCAGTAAAGGCCACGTCATTGTTTACTTCCTTCCTTCAATTAGGGTAATCATGGCATCGAAGATCACTTCCTGTTTATCCAGTTGTATTCCATTGGCCACGTCATTGTTTTTATCACTGCCACTATTACCACCGATGTTAACACTAGGTACCCCTAGGACTGACTGAGCTCGCGGCGAACAAAGTGCCTCTATTTATACTTCCCGGCGCGAGATAACAGAGAATGTGAGAGCGGGAGAGTAAGCGTTAGCCAGAGAAACTTACAGAGAAAGAGTTAACATAGGTCTGTAAATGTACAGTGGGAGCTGGAAATTCCGAATAACATAGTGATCGTGAGCGAGAGCGGGAGAGGGAGGGCTGTTAATGCTAATGTTAAGAAATTATTTCTTATATACAGAGAAAGAGTTAACATAGCTCTGGAGATGTACAGTGGGAGCTGGATAGTTAGAGCCAGAGCAAGAGAGGGAGAGGGAGAGGGACAACAACATTTGTTAATTAACTCTATATTAACTATATTTAATATTTAAATACATATATTTTATATATCAAGTATATATTCCAAATCCCAATTACAGCCAATCGATCGCTATCCAGTTCGCCACGTAGTCACTCCCGCAATGGTCTGCTCACAGCGCCGCCCAGCTCCGGCAGTTCTGGATGCACTGCATCTGGCGGAGCTGTGGGAGGAGGCGGATGTGGAGGCACCGCCGGAGGAGGCACAGCATCTGGAGGCGGAGGTACAGGTGGCCATGTGGTAGGAGGCGTTCGCAAGGTGTTTACCAACACACGGGAACGATGGCGGCAGCAGAACGTATCCGGTGCCTTTGCCGAGCTGCGAAAACTAGTGCCCACCCATCCTCCAGACAAGAAGCTATCAAAGAACGAGATCCTTCGATCGGCCATCAAGTACATCAAGCTGCTGACCGGCATCCTGGAGTGGCAGCAACGCCAGGTGCCGGCTCATCCGCCGTATCCTGGCTCTGGTCCGGAGACCAATAACAATGACAATCGGACGGTGAACGGCCATGCGGATTCCGATCTGGAGCAGCCCGACATCTCGGCCGTGCGGCACATCAAGTGCGAGCGAACGGACGGAGGAGGAGGAGTAGGAACAGGAGGAGGAGCATCCACAGTGCCACATCGAAATGGAGGAGGCAATGACTTGCTCATGATTGCTCCGGGTGCTCTGGTCAAGAGCGAGCACCTTCTCGAGTCGCCACTGCCCTCCAATCACTCGCATGGCCATATCCCTTCCCTTGCCCATTCCCTGCCAGGCACTGGTCTAGTCCCGGTTCCGGAATCAAGGCTAATCAGCAGTTCGGCAGGAGCCGTGGTGCCAAAACTGACCACCAGCAGGAGCAGCAAGCGACGCCTCAAGTCGGAGGCGGGTGCGGGTGCCACCGATCTCAGTCTGGGCAAGAGGCGCCGCACATAGGAGTCGAAATAACAATTAATTCTTAATTAAATATATATATATATATATATATTTTTTTTTTTAATAAATTAAAAGGAAATTAAAGTGAAAAAGTTGGATCTGGTTTTATATATTAAATAAATATCATGTGAAAATATATTTACCTGAAACCTTAACACACCTTGAGATATCCTTGAACTCCTTTCCCTTTTCTCAAAATAAATCAAATCGCATTTGTTGTGTATATTTTTTGGTTTGTAATTTTTATTGTTTTTAAATTAATGTTGTTTTTCTTTACGCATTTTGTCTCGTGTTCTTGTTCTTGTTTCATTCTCGTTTATCGTTTTCATTTCCTCTGTCAAAATTGTTTTGGTTTCCCTCGTTTATTTTATTTTTTTTTTTTAATTTGCAATTAGTTTAGGTTTGTGTTTAGTTTGTTAATTAAGTTTAAGTTGGTTTTGATTGGGATTAGGTTTGCTTTTTCCTGTTCTGTTAATTTTTGTTTTTGTATTTTTGGGGTAAAGGGGGTAAGTTTGCCTCGTTATTTAAGCGAAACTCTGAAATTTGTTCTTTCATTTTCATATATATATATAGGTATATATGTTTCTTCTATGCATATATATGTGTGAGTGTGTGTCTGTGTTTATATTTCATTTCCGTTTCCTGTGGTTTCTATCGAAATCGAACAGTAAGTATACTTACAACTGTGTGTGTGTGTGGATTCTGTGTGTGTGATTTATATATTTTTCTGGTGTACTTAGATTTAATTACTAAAATGCTTTGGGACTCGATTTGCGGGGGATATTAAAGGTGTTTTGCTCAAATTCCGAATTCACTTTGTTTATATTTTTTGTTAATTTTTGTTTCTTCTTTTTTTGGTTTTGTATTTTTTTTATTTTGAATTGAAATCATAGTCGTAAGTAAAGTATGTGCGTGTGGATGTACGAGTGTGTGTCCTTGTGTGTCCTTGCCGTGTGTACATAGTAAGTATATATATGTTATGTAGTTTAGGTTTAATTAGCTTTTGATGCCACAAAACTCAACGCTCGTTATTAATTGTATAAATTGTATCATTTAGTTTTTAGTACAAAAAAAATATATGCTTGTTCTCATATAATAATAATATATGCATGTATAGGGAGATTGAGTTTGAGTTCGAGTTCGAGTTCTATGGAAATACATACAAATAGATTTTGCTTTCCCCATAAATACTTTTGCTGAAGCGAATCTATAGGTTTTCTAAATCTGAAATCGAGATTGAAGCACTTTAACTGGGATATACATAGATGTATGTATGTAGGGGTCTTTCGAGCTTAGAACCAATCGAACCGAGGAGTAAGTAAGTACATATAGTTGCGATTGGAGGAGTGTCCTGTTGATCTAATGCCTTAATTCTAAACAATCATCTTCATTCGCGTCGGTTGTCTTTTTAATTCAATTTGTTTTAAATTAGTTTAGGTTTTCAATTGCAGCTAAATGGTTTTGTTTTGTCGATTAGTTTTACATAATATATATATATATATATGTATATATATATATATCAAGGATCCGGCCTGGTTCTTTCATCGTTCATTGTTTAATTTAAGATTATGGGTGGCGTCGCGCGCTAAAAGCGTTTTCCTCATTCATTCATTTATATTTTCCATCTTTCATTCATTTTGTGTTTACGTGTTTTATTTGTTAGCTCCATTGATCCTTTTGATCCTTTATATCCTTTACGCTTGCTTTTCTTTATTGTATATATATAGTGTATATTGCAATCGATCGCTTCCTAGATAATCGTAGTTAATGCTAGACTTGGCTTAAGAACAGGCCACCAAAAATGTTGCTATACTCGTTACTCGTTACTCATTACTCGTTACTCGTTACGTTGAGATTGTGGTTTTCCTAGGCTTCTTATTTGTTTTTTGTTATATATATTTTTTGTTCTTTGAGTTCGGGTTGGGATGCTACTAGGATTACGAATGGTTTTTTTTTGTTTAATATCTCGTTTATATAATATCTATATCGTTATCGGTATAGATGCACTTGCGCGAGTTTAGTAAACGGTTTCCCCTTTGCTTTTGCTGTTGACCTGGATTTTCATTTCAACATTTTCCTCTAGTTTTTCCTCTCGATCTCATGTGTCATATATTTGCCATTTTACTTTTACTATGGATTGCTAACTTCTGTGATCTTGATCGTTACTTGTATAACCGCATATATGCATTTATATATACATATATGTATATATATATAAACATTAAATGGGACAAAAATTTTGATTTATTTCACTAAGTAATTTTCTCGATTTATTATATCTTGGTTTTATGTTACGGTTCTTACGATTTAGTTACGTGTCGCGAGCTATTTATTTAATGTTATTTACTATATTTTGGTGGAGGATAAGGGAAATGGGAGACGAGGGTAGTGGAGTTTTTTTGGTTTCAACATTTTCCTTGCTTTCTTTTCTAGCTTCATATATAAATTATTATATATTTGGGGTTGTTTCAATAATACAAGATTATTTTAATTATTAGTTATGCATAGTTTAAAGATGATTTTTGTTTTGGTTTTTCCTTTCTTTCGTTTTTTGTTTTTGTTTCTTGTTTTATGCTAAGTATTTGCTTGCGCCCAATGCATATAGCTAGATATACATACATACATGTGTATGGGTTTGTGGGAGGTGTCTGTGTGTGTGTGTGTGTGTGTGTGTGTATGTGGGGAGTGTGTGTATTTTGTGGGGGAACTTCCTTTTCCGATTTGTGTTGTGTGTGTGTGGAAATATAGCGAAATATCTTGCGAATAACATTACATTAACAGAGCGCTACAATCGCGCTAACCGGACGCCGCTGCCTCGGTCTCGGCTCCTGCTCCCGATCCTGTCGATCCTGCCGCTCCATTGTCACCGGCCTCGGTTTCGTTGCCACCACCCGAACCCGGCCCAGATCCGGCAACCTCGCCATTTCCGCTTCCGCCACTGCCGCCGCTGCCCCGACTTCCGTTTCCGCTGCTGTTAAGGGCGCTGTTCGATTGCGAGCCTGCGAACGAGATAAATGTAGATGGCATTTCGTATTCAAGATCGTAATTCTTAATTATTGAAAGGAGAATGTTGGAGCCAAGTGAAATTGAAGTGTTTCCCCAACTATAGCCTTTTTGAGTCAGACTTACCCAGGGCGGAAGTTGCCTGAAAGGTTCCGGAATGTTCCACCTTCACCTTAAACGAACTAATCTCCTAAGAACCCAATTATTTCTTAATTTATTCCAAGAATCTCTGTACTATCAAAGGTGTTTTATGGTCAATTCAAAGGCAATTCGTAATTATTCCAATTAAACTGAAAACTTAAAATAAAATTTCAATTCAGATAAAAACTTAATCATATGATCATATTTTAAATTTAAAAAAAAAAATCATGATTTTCACTGAAAATTAAACAGTTTTTTCTCAATATTATCACATTTTTTAAGAGATCCCCACTTGGAGTGTTGTGAATGTCGCAAAACGGAAAGAGATAGAGAGAGATATAGTACATTGATCGGGCGATTGATCTCTTCTAGCATGCATACAGAGTGGACAGGACATCAGGGACACATCCGCATAAAACGTAAAGAAGGAGAGCTCATACACTGAACAAAATGATATACATATTCATATATATGGTATATACTACGTGAGATAAAGGAAAGGCAACGGAAAGGTTTTACTTTCGTTTAAATATTGTATTTGTTTCTCATTTTATTTGTTGTATCTTGTTTTGTTGTAGTCATTTATTATCATTATCATTACGGCTTCTTTGCTCATCATTATCATCAACGATTCTATATATTATCATGATTATTACAGCATTACATATACAATTGTCAGAGTATGCGTATGTACGTGTACGTGTAGGTGTACAGTGTACTTGTGTTGGTGTATTTTTTTAGTATAACTTTTCTTTTCGCTTGTTTTTTATTTTTGTAATTAATTAATTTTTTTGTTTCTTTTTTATTTGTAATTAGCAAATTTAAAAATAAGGTAAATGTGTTGAATTTTTGTTCTTTTCCTCTTGATTTAGTACGCTTGGTTGTTGGTTTTTTTTTTGTTTTTGTTTTATTTTATTTTATTATTTATTTTTTTTTTATTTTTTTCTTGTTTTGTTTTTGTGTGTGTGTGTGCCTAAATTACTAGGAAAAATGTATTTTCTTCTGCGTGTGTGTGTGTATCCATTAATCGTTTATAATTAGCATACAAATTAGTTTAGGGTTTCGATTATAATAAACTATAGAAATAAATATATAAGTTTTTTGCTCACTTCTCCTTCTAATTTGTAATTCATCATTTTTCATCATCATTATCATTATCTTCCATCTTGCTTATGCTAATGCAATCATATATTTGTTTCTTCAATCATTTCATTTGCTTTTTTACATTTCTGCTAACCATAATATATATTCTGACGAAAAGTAAGTGTAGTAATATTTAGCAGCTCTGAGGGGAAGGAAATATTTTTTTTTTGTCGGGAAAATATAGGAGAGTGGGTGGAAAGAGGGGGGAAGAAAGGGCGACACTGACTATGCAATACTAATTAATTTTGGACCTTATCTACATATTGCAACTAAACCGTCGGTTCTCAGATGCCAGCTATCATCATAATCGTCTATCGTCCCTGCTAACTGATATCTGCTATCTGTATCCAGTATCCGTACTCTGTATCTGTTCTATAACGTCCAAATCTCGACTATAACTCTTGTTTCTCGACTACTGGCTAAATAATAATACATACATCCTTCGTTTAGATATCTGTACATATATATTTTGATGCAATAAAAAAAAAACAAAAAAAAACATATTTAGTGTACGTGTTTCTTGTTTACATCAATAATAATCGATAATAAGCGACTATTTTGTCGATTAAATTACGATTTCCATGCGCTCTCTCTCTCTCTCGCCTTATTCATTTCGTTTTGGATGCTTTTTTCTCTCAGTGTATGTGGTTTGTCAATCAATTATTTGCTTTTATTTATTACAAAATAATAATAATAATTATTTAATAAAAATAAAAATAATTTATTTATTTAATATATGTATGTATACATAATGCGTGTGTTTGCAAAAAAAAATTGTTGGTTTTTTGTTTATATTTATATAAAGATTATGTATATATTATAATATATATGAATAGTTTAAACAGTTTTGCTTTTTGTTTCTTGTTCTTTTGTTTTTTTTAATATATTTTTTTTTGTGTTTTTACGTTTCTTTTCCTCTTTTGTTTTGTTTTTGTTGTAATCATTTGCTTTAAATTTAGGCTTTAACATAACATTAACTTTATGCTCTCGATTTCTGCTTTTGCTTTTGCTTCTTACTCGCTCTCTCTTGCTTATTATCTTTAGGGTAAGGTTTCGGCATCCTGATGAACCTTCCCACCTCAATAACTTTATCATTATCATTATCATTATGTTTATGTTTATCTTTATCTTCATGTTCCTCCTTCGCCTCGAACTCTTCGTCATCGGTATGTACTCATGCTTTGATTTAAGGTTAAGTATTTATTATTATTTATTTAGACATGTGGCTATTGGATCTTGCTCAGAATTCAATTGCTGCACTCGCTCGATTGGAGTCAAGTCTTAATTGTTACTACACAAAACTTTCAGTTATTTCAGTTAGCGTTCAGTTGGTATTAGTTAGTAATTAAATACGCGGTCTCCTTATCAGTTAAACATACTAAAAACAAGGTGGTAAAAATAAAAAATATGCCATGACTCTGTTCAATATACACATACAATAATTATTTATTTAGACTTTTTCTATGCGTCAAAAAAAAAAAAATAATAGAAATAGGAATAGGAATAGAAATAGAGATGTGAATATGGGAATAAAAGTAATTTATAGCGAGACTGAGTGAGAGCGAGAGCGAGAGGGAAGTAGGAGGGAGAATACATAATATATATAATAATTAAAAATGACAATCGATCAGCGCTTTACTATTATGTATAAATTTATGTGTTTTCTTTCTTTTCTTTTTTTTTGTATTTATTATTTACCATTATTGTTTATTATTATTATGCTTATTAGTTTTATTTTAGATTTAAAATAAATTTAATTTTACCTAAGTAAAATGTGTTTTTTGTTATATTTTTGCGTTTTGCCTTTGCATCTCTACTACTTCTACTTTTACTTCTGCTTTTGCTTTTGCTGCTTCTGCTTTTGCTGCATCATCGGTTTCTGCTTTCAGCTGCTGCCTTCAGCTTGTGCTGCTGCTTCTCTCATTTCTGCTTCTGCTTTCGGTTTATCTGTTTATCTTTTTGTAGTTTTGCTGCTGTTCGTTTTCTCATCAATGTTGCATTAATTAGGTTTATTAATTATTGTGTAAATATGTTGTATGTGGGCTGTGGTATATCCTCTTTTGTTTTTAATTATTATTGTTGCTGTTGCTGCTGCTTCTGCTGTTGGCTTAGCATTTTTCGTTTTGGCTTCTAAATATATGCTTGCTGCTGTTTATTATCATACATATATATATACGTAGACATATATATATATACATATATATAGAAGTGTGTGTGTGTATGTATGTGTGTGTGTGTGTAGGTATGTTACTATTGCCCCTATGAATCTGTAAATAAAAAGTTAAGAAAATAAACAAAAATCAAATTAAAATTAGCATCACTAAAAAAAATAAAGAAAATATATGAAAGTGGGCTTAAAATGAAGTGTAATGAAAGACTATCAATAACGATAACATAACACATAAGAAGCTGTGGGATCAACACTAATTACCCAAAATAATAATAGTTTAAGAATGCATTTAAAGGCACAATTTCTTGAAAGGTTTCACTGATATCGCTGTGCATGGGGAGATAAACCCTTTTTTAGACTGACCAGCCCCTGGAAAGTTCGTCCTTAGAGTGACCAAACCGCAAGGAGTTCATCTTGAAAAGTGACTAAGCCGTGGAAAGTTCATTTTTATTATTAGATAGACCATTTATTTCCTGGCAGAGAGAATTAACACCAACTAACTTTTCACAACTCTTAATGCCCGTTTTTTTTTTTAATACTGCTTTGAGAATGTTATGAACTAATTTTTATTGTTCAGACTGCACTGCAGGGAAAAAACATATTGCATAATATGCCAAAATAAAAAAGTTGAACGGGAATTTGTATTGGATAGACCTTAGTTTGAACGTCGTGTTGGTTTGGATGAATTTATATCTATGGGGTCTTGAATAGTTTCTTGAGTTGATCGATTATTGAGATTCCTTAATGGTGGTGGTTCTTCTTTTTTCCTTCTTCTTTTTAGATATGGCAGTTTCCCGACTTTCAAAGAAACTCCCTCTCACACTGCTCTGTGGCTCTCTCTCCCTTTTCCCTGGGTCGGCTCGGTTCAAAGGATAGGTGCTGGGGTGCTAGGTAAATGGTGGATGCGGAATGGTGGATAGTGGATGATGGGGATTTCAGTACGGGGCAATCTGGTTACGCATAAGGGGCTGCTTTATCCGCAATGGTAACTTGGTAGATCGTTTCACCATAAGATTGGCGCCAACTGATGGGTTGAGGATGAGGCGATGGTTAGCAATGGATGAGTTCAAAGGTCGTATATATGTGTCCTAAATATCGTATCGTTTGGCAAAGTATTGTGCGAAATACTGATATAGATTCATAAGTTATTCCTTAGTAAACTATAATATAAATAGAATAATGTTTCATTTGAAAGGTTTAAAGAGAAATTTAAATAATTAGGATTGATATTATACAATTTAATTATAATCTAGAAGTATATGTTGCTCTGTAAACTATGAAATTGAAACTGGAATCGATTGAAAATGAATATGTTCCTGTTTTCCATATTGGAATACAGAATAAATATTGGAATATGGAAGGCATTTGCAATATTCTTTCACTTTTCCAATGCTTAAGTTAATCCGTAATACAATTTATACTTTTACGATACGATACTGACTAACATAACGCCTGAATACGGGATGAGGATGAGATCGAAAATGAGGATGCAAAAAGTGCACATGGATGTGGCAAAGGAGGGGGGAAACCGCTGGCTGGCCAACCGCCTACTCACCTGTTACATTGGCGCCACCGGCATTGGTCGTGCCGGCTGCTGTAGCAGCTGAGCCCGCCGCACCGCCGCCACCGCCACCACCACCTGCTCCGCCGGCGGTTGCGGCATTTGACTGCTGCGCAGTTGTAGCAGCAACGGCTGACGGCGCACCAGATGCTCCGCCGCCGCCGCTGCTGCTATTGTTACCGGAACCGGTTCCGGGTCCGCCGGCACTCGCTCCACCGCCGACCGCCGATCCTGCTCCTGCTGCTGCTGCTGCTGCGCCCGATCCTGCCGTGCCAGCTGCCGCAGCTGCTGCTGGTGCCTGCGACTGGGTCTGGCCGGATCCTTCCGCCGATGTGCCACTGCCCGTTGACGATGCGCTGGTGGTACCGCTAGCGGCAGCAGAGGCAGCTGCTCCAGCCGCTGTTCGGTTGCCGGTAGCTGCAGCCGCATTCTGAAGATGCTTGGGCAACAGCTGTGGCACTAAGCTGGGCTGTATCGAGAGCTCTGTGGATAGGATGATGGATGAGGAGGAATCATTAGATACAAAATATCTGGCCAGTAGATTTCAGCGGCACTCACCATGCTCTGTGAAGTTGAACAGTGGCGGCATTTCGCGACCATTGGGCAAGGTGTGGTTACCCTCCATGCGGAGCTCATCGAAGAACGGATGTGCACAGGCCTTGAGCGGGGTAATCCGGGCGCTGGGCGTATACTCGAGCAGCAGGGACACCAAGTTGATAGCTTCTGTAGGAGTGCGTATGCGGAAAACCTGTTGAAGGAACAAACGAAGCAAATGATCAATTAGTTTGTGTGTCACAATCATAGGCAAAATGTCCGTGGGAGGAGCATCTTTGTTGCAGGACACAAAAACAGGGCGGGACATGGAACAAGGACAACAGGACAATTGGGCAACAGGGCGGGGGCATCATCATAATTATATCATTCGCATTTTTTGGACAGGACACAAAATAGAGCACAGAGGAAAGCAAATAGAGTGACAAATACACCACAAGGATCCCTGATGATCCCTGATGATCTTGTGCAACTCCTTTTCAACTGAGGCAAGTAGGCAAGAGGGCAAGAAACCAAAACAATCAATTAAATTCAACTCCAAATCAATGTAAAAGAACCAATGTAGAGCACCACCTGTACAGCTGCTGTTGGCAAAAGCTGGGCAAGATCAAGCCGGAAGCCATGAAGGAAGCCATTGTATCTGCAAAATGAATAGCTATGCGAGCAGGGAAACTCAAACAAAGATGTCAGGCTGCGGATAATGTTTTACGATAGAAAACTTTAGACTTTCCCTAGTTAAACTCCCCTGTTATTAATGGGTTATTTTGCAATGGCATTATGGCTTTATCAGCAGCATATAATATTTTTTGAATAATGATTTTTTGACAACAAAATTTTCAATTTCAGTTTCATTTTCGAATTCGTTTCTTGGCTTACTCTCAATCGTTGTTTCTGGTTTAGGGCATTTGGAAATTGGGTGCGTTCGAGTAGTGACTGCAACGAGTTTTTATATACACAACACAGATTTTATCGGTTAAAAACAGATTTTTTGAAAAGAAGGGGAAACTGGGTGTAATGGGACGAGGCGTAGGGCTATCCCTGGAGAGAGTGAGAGAGATACGAGTGAAGGAGGATCGATACCCGGGGCGTGGGGGAATAAACATGAACGATAAGCGATAATCGCACTGGAAACTAAACACTCGTCACTTACTTTCTGCCATGGATGACTCTTAATTTGTGGAAACTTGAATTCCGTATAGTTTGGATTCATTTCGCGTATCTGTTCTCTTGTCGGTGTGCCCAGAACCTTGATGACCTCAACTAGTTGATCGACACCGGAATCGCCAGGGAAGATGGGCTGGCCCAGCAGCAACTCGGCCAAAACGCAACCGGCACTCCACACATCTGTAGGCAAAAAAAAAATGGTATAAATTTCAATTTATAGTGTACATAGAGGGGGTGATTAAACTCACCGATCTTTGTTGTATAATTGATGGCGCCAAAGATGAGCTCGGGGGCACGATAATACCGGGAACAGATGTACGACACATTCGGCTCACCATGCAGCAGCTGCTTGGCGCTGCCAAAGTCACAGAGCTTTAGCACAGCCGTCTCCGGATCGAGCAGTAGGTTCTGCGGCTTGATATCACGATGGCAGATGCCCAGCGAGTGGATGTAGGCCAGACTCCTGAATAGTTGGTACATGTAGAGCTGTTGGATAATCATTGCAATTAATCATAAACCCATGGAGAGTGAGAGTGAGTGTCATTAACTTACCCGAATAAAGTTGATTGGTATCGTTTGCTTGGTTTTGGCATATTGGCGAGCCACTTTGTATACGGTTTCTGGTATATATTCGAGGACTAAATTCAAAAATACTTCATCACGCTGCCCAGGGAGAGAGATAGAGATTGGATTAGTATATCAATTTAATTAGAAATCACTTAACAAGTTTAGTTTTATGTGATCCATGTATGGATATGTGGGGGAGAGTTTTGACCGATGAAGTTGCGAGCTCTCAACATGCGTTGTCAGGTTTCAGGTTTCTGGGATTCGTACATAGATCTCAAGGTAGCATAGAAAGAAACTAGCATAGCATTTTAGCAAACTAGCATATATAGCAAGGGGGAATTTCGGTTCACAGGAGCGAAGTGTCTTGTACCATGCGATGTACTCTGGCTGTACGCTTCACTGTACTTTCTTCCTCTGCAATTCACATTATTATTACATAGCATTTCGTATGAGAGATAGATAGACAGAGGACGAGAGACTGAGTTTGTTCTGGCTGGCTGAATGATCTGAGACTGAAGATTCGACTGTGATTCGACGTGAGGGAGGATACCTGGGGCTTGAGCACACTCGCAAATATGCCCAAATCGATGGGGAACTCGGCCAGCTATGAGCCCCGTGTTTCAGTATCAGATCGGTATCAGTTTCAGTTTCGATATGCAAGTGAAAGAGATTCAATTCAATTCATTTCAATTGTTAAACTTTGCTTGGAAACCTGTCAAGAAACGCTCGGCTCATTAAATACATATAATTGTAATCGAAATATTAAACTTGATGCGGAGGGAGAGCCATTTGCCAATTGTGTACGTCTCATTAGAAGGTTCCTCGATTCTCCCATCCGAGCCAAGTGATCAAGATTACCGGATATAGTATGTATGTGCTGGCAACTTCAGCAGTTCGTTGTCTGCCCAAAAGGGGTACCCGAAACAAACTCACCTTTTCACCGCTCGAATAGAAAAAGTACAAAAGCTTTACAATATTACAATGCTCCAATTTGCGCATAATTTGCAATTCACGATTCTGTAAATGATTAAATCAGTTAATAATATATACATATAGATGTAGATTTTAATCACTCACCTTAAATCGTCTGTCTTGTAAAACTTTTTTGATTGCCACCAGTTCACCGGTGTCGCAGAGCTTCGCCTGGAACACCACACCGAAGCTGCCATTGCCGATGACCTTTGTGTCTGTATAGGAGACCTCTTGTACACGATCAGTGCCTTGGCCGGGGGTTGCGACGACTGTTGTGATTTTGGAACCATCGCGACCTATCAAAGAGCAAGGGATTTATGTTAAGTAAAGTATTTAAGTTGAATATATAAAGTATATAATAATAAGTAATACACACACACACACACACACACATAATATATATATTTTAAAAAGAGAATCACTGGTGCTAGTGTCTTCAAGTTATATCTTTCATTGTAAACCACCATTTTCTCTGCGTTATCCCCCTTAAGACTCTATTATCTATACACCTGTGGTCTCCCAGGCTCCCTCCAGTTTCTCCTTGCTCCTATCAACCTCCTTTGGAATGGACAGTGCAACACTGTGCTCGGGCCACAAGTCGTTCAGCTTGCCAATCAGCTGCTTCATGCCTGATATAGCCAAGATATATACAAGCAAATGTATATATATATATTTAATTATAAATATATATAATCAAGAGTTAATCGGGGCAAAAGTCACAGATGCTTGGGGGAAAGCAATGAGAACAGGGATTACGTAGAGTGTAAGTTAGTGGGAGACTAGGAAAGATGGATGACTAAGAAACATCAAGATTTATATTGAAATCCAAAGAGTTAAGAAAGGAGAAAGGAACAGGATTCGTGTTCTCACAAGTATTTAGTAGGAGTTATCAAGGATTTAATTGAATATCTTAAAGAGAGAGATTTCTTATTTAAAGATAAGAAACAAAGTTAGAATCAAGTTCTTAGATTGTTTCCAATCTTGTATCAAGTAACAAAGTATCCAAATCCTTAAATATTTATATAAAAAATACATAAATATTATCCCTGACTCTTTGTTGTATTCCTTTTGCCTTTTATTTATTTAGTTTTCATTTTTATGTCCCCAATTAATTTTGGCATTGGCGCCAAAGATGCCAATGATAATGATGGCCCTGATGACGACTATGATGGGGCAGGCCAGCTGCGGGACTGCTGCGGGCGTGCTCTTGGGACTTGTCTTGGGTCTTGGGGTTTGGATGAGTGGGAATGATTCTATGTGGCATGCAATTTCAATTTGGGGGACTTCTTCTCTCTTCATCTCTGTACTTGGATCCTTGTACTGCTTGCCAGCGGTGCCTCCGCCTCCGCCTCCGCCTAGACTGGCAATGCTGGCTCCACTGCCGCTGGATCGATTCAGAGGTTTGGTCTTTTTGAGAGTGGCGGCCACCACCAGTGAGGATGAGCAGGCGGATTGGGCCGCCTTGGCGGCAGCGGATAGGGGCTTGTGTTTGCCATTGGAGGCCTTGGACTTGGTGGCATGCCGGGGGTCTGAAGCGCTGCTGCTGGTGGTGGTGGTGCTGCTGCTGCTATTGCTACTCCCCGATGAGGAGCCACTGCTATCCGTATCCGATTCACTGCTGCCACTGGACGAGCTGCTGTCCTCTTCGCCGGATTCGGAATCCTCAGAGTTGTCCTCATTGTTGTTCTCTTCTTCGCTGGATGATCGACCATTACTCTTACTCTTGCTCTTGCTCTTGCTTTTGGCCTTGTTCCCGGCCAGAGGCAGAGTGGGTGGAGCACCGCTCAGGGATCCCCGCTTGCTTCGGACTCCGCCTGTTGCTTTCACCACCGCCGGTGGCTTGGCCAACGAGGAGGAGCTGCTGTCTAGAGAGTTCTGGCGTATGGATGTGGTACCAGTACCCGCCGTTGCCGTACCCGAACCGGAGGCAGCTCCACCTCCATCCGATTCGCTGGCCTCGTTGTTGTTAGCGGACCCACTCGGAGGACGTTTCTTTTTGCGAATAACGCGCACCACTTTCCGGACACCACGCGGCACCGCCACGGGCACCGCCACCTGTGACCTATCCACCTTGAGACCGCCGGCGGAGTCGAGCCGGAGCCAGCAGCACGGCGAACGAAGCGCAGCAACAACGGATCACTGTGCCCGGCCAGCTAGCAAGGTGTTGGTCTGCTGATGCTGTTGCTTCTGTGGCCTAGTTTTATTTTCGGTTCCTTTGACGTTTCTCGAGATCAATCGGACGACCGATCGATCTTCAAATAGCCAAGAAGCAATAACCAATAAAAAAAAAAATCAAATAAAATCACCAAAAATTAAGAAAAGTGCAAGCACGCGGCAACAAATTAAATATATATATATCACACAAATTACAACAACTATTGAGCAACAAAACTATACAAAAAAAAAAAATAGCACAGTCTTTGATTTAGCAGCGAGTTTTTTTTTATATTTGATTTTCGATTTTTTAACTTTTTTTATTTTTGTTTTTTAGAATAAAAAAGAGAGAGGCAAATCCGCTTGATTCCAACGATCTGATCACTCGAGCCTCCGTTGCACAATTGGCCAAAAAGAATGCAAAAAACAGAGGACGACAATCGGAAGCCAAAGACACGAATGAGCACGAAGATACACGAAGGAGCACGAAGGTGGCAACAGTGATGCCATTTTGGCCATCTTTAAGCTTACAGGGTATTATAATTTTAGTCAGAAGCTTATAAATCTGTGAAGGAATCATTTCCGAACCTATAAATCATATATATTCTTGATCAGGATGAACAGGCGAATCGATCTAGCTATCTCAGGCAGAAAAAAAATTTTACAAATTTTTTTCAAAATTTTATAAGGGGTTACATCGTTAAAATTTGTCAAAAAATTTGAAATTTTAAAAATTTTAAATTGAGTATGCAGATTTATTAACCCATTTAAAACTAGCATGGGAAAGCTTTCCGAATTGAATTTAAAGCATTTTTGGCTTAGTTATGAAAGTTTTTCATGGTCCAAGTGCAAAATTCAAGGGTATACAAACTTCGGCTTCACGAAAATAGTTTCCCTTTTTGTTAAACGATATTTTTAATAGAAGTTTAAATATTTATTGTGATTTTTATTTTGCCATTTCCATTTAGTTATTAATTTTGTTTAGGGTTTTTAAAATATATTAGAAAACGATAGATAAACTAGGGGAAAATCTTTCTTATTCTCTTTATTCATAATTTGTGTTATTCTTTTTAACTAAAAGGGAAGAAAAATGTAATTCTTTCTAGCTAGATGAGCAGCACTAAATGGCATCCGAATGCCAGCCGAAGTTCAATCGATACACGTGAGATTCACAATCGCTTTTAAGCCCCGACGCATGCTTCCAAATGCCAAAAGCAAAATAAACATAAATAATAAATAATCAAATATGTTTGATAATTATTTCGAGCAATTTGTTGCAATTTTTGGTGATTTCACATTTTTAATTGCAGGAAAATTGCGGTCTGCAAGGCCACAGAGAAGAAAGAACCAAACCGACAGAAGACAGACAGACAGTGGCAGCCAAGCGTGGTCAAGCATGCGACAGCCACGCCCCCTTAATGGCGCATCGTGCCACATGACGCCCCCCTTTACTCTTCTATGCGACTGACAACTGACAGTTCAATGCGATCGAGAGAAAGAGACAGAGCAGAGAAAAGAAGAGCGAAGAGTATAGAATCAGAAGAATCAGAAGAGCCCGAAGAAAGGGCCACAGAAGAAGAGCATTTAAAATCAAAATCAAAGGATATTTATGTACATAATGCATACGCAGTCAAAAAATTGTAATCAAATTTTATTTTATTTTAGAAAAGCAATTAAAAGAGAACAAAATGCCACAAAAATTAAAAGAAGAAAACGCAAATTTAATGAAATCGAAAAAGGCCAAGAAGATTTAACCCGCTTCTGACATTGACATTGTTTCTCATTGCCTCACAGGGGAAAAATAGAAGAAATATTGGGAGATGGTTAGAAATGAGTTTTGAAAATTGGAAAATTTAAAACTTAACAATTACTGCGACTTACTGTATCTTCTATATATTGGTAATCTATAATGTCTCACTAAATATATATTATTCAAACAATTTTGTGTATGGATCAATATAGATTCATTTCAACCATTTGCCTTTACGCTCCATACATAAATCTTTTAATTTTAATAGTTTAAGAAATGTTGAAGCTAATGAAACATTGAAAAAAAAAAAAAAAATCCCCTTCCTAGTTTAAATATATCGATTTATTTCGATAGTTTAAGGAAATTGAAAACATCTTTGAACATTTGCTAACCAATCCCTTATTCCCTACAGTTTGCAGTTTATATTCCAAAAATATATCAATTTAATTCCATAATTAAGGAATATTAAAAACAAACTACACCTAAAAATATTTATTTATACTCCCTACAGTTTCTATCCCAAATATATCGATTTATTTCGATAGTTCAGGAATTTGACAACCAATCTATGGACAACATCTTTGCATATTTGCTAACCAAACACTTTTACCCCTTGGCAATTCAATTTACGTTTATCGATTTGATCGATTCATCAGGTGTACATCGTTTCTATTTTAGCTCTTTGGTCTCACATTAATCAATTGAATTTATTCAGAGCTACGAGCGGCTAAATCAATCAAATTATCAATAGGTACACAACCCACGCACACACCACATTTCCCTCCTTTAACAAACATTGAAAAACTATACCAAAACGAAGAGAAAAAGGAGAAGGAAAAGGGGGCGGTGGGTGGGTGGGACACATGGAGCTGTCCAAATGGGAAAGCAATTTGTTGTGCCGCCGCCAACGGACGACGGAAACTAATCGATATACAAGCAGTTGGCACCACTTGGCCGGGCTAAAAGGGGTTGCGATTTTTGTGGCAAGACGAAGACGGGAGGTTAAAGTGCAATAAAAAGAAAAGAAAAACAGGCCAAATCTATGGATATATCAGAACAACACCTCTCCCTCTGTAAATGCCTCTCTATAAAGCCATATGGAGTCATCGCCGTGCCAAAAGCAAATTAACAAAACTCTTTTGGCTAAAATTAAACACACAACCCACGCCCACACACCACGGAACACAACACAACACCCACACACTCTCTATTCCTCCCCTATTCCTAGTTCAAATTCCATGAATATATATTTTTCGAGCCCTAGAAACTCATTCAAAACAAATGGTTATACGGAACCTATAATTTAACAGATGGAAATCAAGCTTTTTGGAATCGATAATATATAGTATATAAGGGTAGAAGGTCCTCGAAATGTTGCAACTTAAATGCAAT